AGGCTATAAGGAACGGTGTTCTACTATAAATAAAGCAGCTATAATATACTCTCCCGATTATATAAGCTAATAAGTAGTATATTAATTATAGACAAAATCTCATCCTATAGAGCAAGAATCGCTCGTTATTTTGCATGTTATTATGCATTAAACGGGTTGCCGGTTATCGTATAATCGGGAATCGAAGGAATAGAGCTAGCTTAGAATACTAGCTAAGACCTCTTAAGAACACCGGCACGACCAACCTCCTTTAAACACGAATATCAGTGGAACCAAGACACTTCTAGATTTACTCGAGGTATCACGGAATTCCCTAGTCTTAGGGCTATACGGCAGCCTAAATCTGGTCCCGAAAGGTTCTTCCGTTCAGCTATAATTGTCTATATAAGACAGCATGTCCGCTAGTAGATAGATAGAGAATTATTAACTTTAACACCTCTTCTATATACTAATACACTACTAATAAATTCCGTTAAAAATCCTACCTTATACTCCTTCTTCCCCTCTATTACGTAGTCTTACGTGACTCCTTGATTTCCTAAAATTCCGCTTTTGCTTATATACCTTTAGACTCTCGAAGAAGGCAAAAGGAAATTAGGCTCCTTAAAAATCGAGGGCAAAAAGCTACCCTTTTCCTTCGAAGAATTCGCATAGATCCGTTAGGTAATTTTATCGTAAAATTCACCCTTCTATATCCCTCTATCCGTACGGTTAATTCCCCGGCAATAAGATATTCCTTCCGTGCCTTCTTAAAACACCGGAATCGTAAGAGTATATTATAGATATCGAGGGAAGCACTAGAGTCAAGGATAGCTGATTTTCGTAGGGGATAGTTAGAGGGTCCTAACGGTTGGTCTTGCTAATCCGTAGGGAAGACGAATGCCGGATTTACTATACCAACGATTTTTCCTCGAATTTATAGTAGCGGCGTTAGTTACTATTTCCTAGTAACTTAAATCTCGTCTATCTTCTTCTATAACGAGGGGTCCTCCTTAAGAGACTATTATATTATTTCTTATAGCCTCTTTAAAGGGTTAAATCCTTTAGGTCGGTTTTCCTCGAAGACCTACTAGTATTATAATAATCGATGGCCTAGGGATTTATAGGCTAGGCAGCCGTTTCGCTTAGTCTTTCGTTTCTTCGAGGAATCCTCGTCCCGATCTAGAAGGTCTGCTTAAAAACCTCCCCTTTTTACCCCTTATTGCTGATTTTAACGAAGAGGTTCGATTTCGACTAGTTCCCTGATTTTTCGACTAACGGACTAAAAGGTCTATTAGGGGACTAGTCGGGCCGGTCTAACTAACGGGACCGGGGCCGGGCCCGGAGTAAGAGGCGGAGCCGGGGCCGGGCCTACGGTAGCCGTTAAAGACAGTGTTAATGCTCTCGAGGGAGGAGGAGCCGAAGGAGCAACAGCCGCAGCAGCAGCAGCGGGAGCCGTAGTAATAGGGGCTGTAGGAGCTGCAGGGGCAGCAGGTCGAGCCGTCTAGGTCGAGTGCTAGCCACGAAGGAACAAGACTGCTTGCTATTATACTCTAGCAGCCTCTTCGTCTAGTTCCCGGCTAGCCTCTCGAAAGATAGTCGAGTAACCGTTACTAATAGGCTTTATTAGCAGAGATATATCCCGTAGCTACTAGCCGGAAAGAGCTTCTATAAGGAAGTATTAGTTAGCTTCCTCGAGGATTTCTTCCTACTTAGCTAGCTACGAAGAAGCTAGTAGGTTCCTAGCAGAAAAGGCTCCTAGGTAGGCTATATAGGTCTTCCTAATACGGTTAGTTATATAACCTCTCGAGGGAGCTATTAAGGTCTCGAGCTTTAAAAGCCACTACCTAGGAGTCTCTTCCTCTTAAAGAGTAATTAGCTTTGCGGCACTAACGGATTCCGTTATCGCCGTGCGTGCAGTAGTTAGCAGCTTCGTCTCGTAAAGGTATTCCTTACGGTAACTCTCGTAGTTACCTAAGGTAGCAGAAAAAGCTCTCTATTATGCAGAGGTTAGCTCGGAGAAGAGGGTAGCTCCCTCTATAAAGTCCGTTGCCCTAGGACGAAGAGGGGGCTCGAGAGGGACCTACTTATTAGAGAAGACTAAATTATAGATAGTTCTGTCTACACGAGCCCGTAGCTCCTTTACCTACTTATCCTAATCTTAGGGCTCTATAAGAATCGTCCTACGGACCGTAGGGACGGTAGAAGAGTCGATTTTCGTTATCGTTATAGAGAGAGGGGGTAGAAAAGTCAGTTAAAAATCGGCTTTTCTAGTAAGAGGGGTAAAAGGGAGCTATAAAGGATATAAGAAGGGTGCCTTTTATAGCAGCCGGAAGGTATAGGAATTCTATTCCTCCCGGGCTTATAACTCTCGTAAAGAGAGATACGAGAAGTGCATAAAAATATATAAAGGTAAAATTAAAAGTAAGGGGTTAGATAGGTAGGGCAGAGAGATTTAATTTTTACGGGAGCAGCAATTACGGTAAGGGAGTAATTATTATATTGCCTTAATTATCCTTCTTTCCTCTATCTAACGCCCTTCTTTATACCTATCTAGTATCTTAATTAATAAAGAAGATCTTGCTTAAAGAAGCTACTAATATCCTTTTAACTACCGAGCTTTTTACCGGTTTTTTCCCCTCCTTTCTAGCCGTTGCCGGCATATCCGTCTTATCTCTCGCTACCTCTATAGGAAGCCATCGCCACTTCTACTTCCCCTCTTGCCCCCACCCTCCTCTCTGCACCTCCTTTCAGCTCCTTCCTCAAAACCTGTTTTTCAGCTTCCTAGGTCCCTCGTGCCAAGGGATATCTCCGAGAACTGCGAAATCAGGCCACGCTTCGCGACATGTTTATATAGGCGGGCGCGGGCGCGACAGGGTTACGTAGCCCACAATTGACAGAGAATCCCCGAGACCGTTTAAGTGTAGCTACATACCATCGCACAAGTGCCTGCCTGAACTCGCCATGAACCCGCTTCTTCTATCTGGCATAAAGGATCTCATCGGCGTCCCAAAGCTCTGTGCCTGTCTCATCATACATCAGTGGTGGTTGTGCATCGTCTACCTGTTGGCCAGGAGCCGGGTCTTGCTGGGCTCGCCAGAGGAGGTCCACATGAAAACGCAGATAAATCGAGCCAGGCACATCGAGCTCGACAACATGTAAGGTGATGACTTTTATGACTGTGTACTTGTGATATGATGGGGCAGAGCAATTTACATACACCAAGGCCTTTATGTGTTTGAGCCTGCGTAACGTGACAGTTATGAGTCCGGGATAAAGTCCTCGGATATCACATTTCTACCTCTTTAAAGCTTTAGAGGTGGCCCAAGTGAAGGCATCGTGACTACACGTCCAAGGCCTTCGTCGAGCTATTGGCTGCTTCCGTAACAACCATGACAACAATGGTCTTCCATTTGCTTCCATTAACCTAATTCAACCTAATTTGACTCAATTCAACTTAACAACCCAATCAACTATCTGATTAACTAAAGCTTTTTACGATAAAGCAAGGTGGCAATTAACTCAGCCAACTCAACCTCAAGACTTAAATAAGTAAGTTAGCTGCTTAATAAGCATTTCTGCCTTTAAGTTAAAAAGGAAAAGAATATAAGAGAAAGGTTATTCCGGGCCGAATATATAAGCTTCTCGAACTTTAGAGAAGGCCTTAGATTTAGAGGATTTAAGTATCTCTATATCTTTTCTCTCTTAAGGGTGCAGCTTAGGGGCTATATCAGATTCAACAAGCAGTGGCCACGGGAAGGGTTACATATAGGACCCGTAGCTAACGCCCGTCAGTTAATTAGGAAAAGGTCCTAGGAAATCTCCTCTTGCCGCATAGCTAGCTTCGAGACGCATTCTTCCCCTTCAATTGAACACACATTTTAAGCCTCTTAATAGAGCTCTCTTTACTCGTGAACAGCCCTACTAGGCAGGCCGCAGAACCGAAGTTCCGACAGTAGGCCGCCGTGATGGTGGTCGTCATCTGAGATGGAATGTATGCTTCCCTCGTTGTAAGACACGCGGGCCAGCTTGCCGACGCGTCCATCTTGGCAGCATCAACGCGTCGAATAAAGCCACTCTCTACAAGGCAAAGAAGGTGGGCTGGTGGGAGAGGCAAAGACGAGCGCGGGGTAGACGGCATGACGGTGCACGGAGGGATGAGACTGGCAAAGGGACGATGGGACAGGCGAATTCCGTTTGCCATTCCACGCGCACGCCTCAAGAATGCTGGGAAAGCCGAGGGGTTATTGACGCCCGGCGGCATGCCGAGACACATCAGAGCTACTTGCCATGTGTACGAAAGAATAGGCAACATATTCAGCTTGGCAGCCGAGGAGCGGTTCCAGCTTCGCCGAAGCTGTCGTGCCAAGTCACGCGGACCGGTGAGGTGGCCTCGGCGGAGGCTATCGAGCCCGGCAGCCGTTGGCTTAGCAGTATATTTGGCCAGCAAAGCCAGCACTCCGGTCTCCACCGTCGGCCGCGTGCCGGCCGATCGCCGCCGGGCCAACCCGCTTGCGGCAGCCGTTGCCGATGACAACCATCGTTGCTCGGCCCGGGCTCAGACATGCCGTGTACGCACAGCACACGCCATCTATAATCAAGTCTCTCCGTCGCTCCCCAAAGGCGCATCGCAATTGAGCTATCTCGTACTTGGCTCCTTCAACCACCGAGCCATCTGCGCTGCCGAGGCCGTTCCTTCTTCCCCCGACTCGCGGGGCTTGGCATGCCGACCGATCGGAATCCAGGACGGTGATTTCCCCCCACTTCTTCCTTCGTTTCGCCGCCCATTTTCAGCTTCTCGACAACGACAACCTCGATCCCTGCCCATACTCCGGAGAGCTTCACCTCCGATCCGCTCGCGTCAAAACATCTGCGTGTATCCCGCCTACCCGACGTCGCCCTGCCGCCGCCTCTTCTCTCGTGCCTCCCGGTCCCCGGTGGCTCTGATACCGACTTCCTGCTATCTCCCCCCATCTACCGACGACTGTTGAGAGGCCCATCGTGCCCAGACGTCAGCTGGCATGGCCGGGCGCCGCATCGCCGACTTGGTCACGACAAAGGTCCTCGGGATCGACGTCAACGAGCGCTACTCCAACCTGCCTCCAAATCTCGAGAGTCGGGCTCGAGACGTGCTCGGATCTGCCCATGCCTACCTCGAAGAGGAGCCCTCCGTCGCCGAGTTTTTCGACGACCTGGCGCCCGACTGGGCCGGAGTCGTCGAATACGTTCAGGACCTGTTTCCTTCGGCATCGTGGATCAGGCGGTACAACATGCGCTGGCTGGCAGGAGACATGATTTCTGGTCAGTTCGGATCCATGGCCCTCCTCGCCGACTGCACCTTCGACTAACAAACCGACCCTCGCAGGCGTTACTATTGGTCTCGTTGTTATCCCTCAGGCGCTGGCGTACGCCTCCCTCGCCCATCTTCCACCTGCCTATGGCTTGTATACGTCTTTTACAGGTGCAGCCTTGTACTGGATGTTTGGGACGTCCAAGGACATTGCCATTGGGGTTCGTAATGTGCCTCTGCACTGGAAGCATGGGACAAGAGACAGCTAACACCCAACGTGCAGACGACGGCCGTGGGCTCGCTCCTGGTCGGCCAAGTCGTCACACGAGTCGACGACGCCGCGCCGGGGCGATATAGCGCTGATGAGACGGCTCGTGCCCTGAGCTTACTATCAGGAGCCGTCTTGCTCTTTGTTGGGCTCTTCAGGCTTGGGTGGATCATCGAATTCATCCCCTACATTCCCATATCTGCCTTCGTCACCTCTGCCAGTATCACCATCATGTCCACGCAGGTCCCTACCGCCCTGGGTATCCCAGACATTAACACGCGGGAACCGCCGTACCGCGTCATCATCAACACCCTCCGAAGCCTGCCCAACGTCCATCTGGACGCCGCCATTGGCTTGTCTGCCATTGTTCTGCTCTTCGCCATCGGGAACTTTTGCTCCATGATGGAAGCCCGCCAACCTGCCCAGAAGCGCCTCTGGAATTTCATATCTTCCCTCCGCTTGACCTTTACAATGCTGCTTTTCACCCTCATCAGCTTTCTTGTCCATCGCACCATGCCCCCAGCGGAAACCAAGTTTCGTATTGTCGGGCACATTGAACAAGGTGCGTAGTCCACGGCTCCTTTTCCGCATCCCAAGTCTGACGAGTGGCTTGTAGGTTTCAGGGAAGCCAGGGTACCGCAACCCGATGTCGGTTTGATCAAGGCCATTCTACCGGAGCTGCCTGCCGTTGCCATCATCCTGGTGATTGGGCACATTGCCATTGCGAAGGCTATGGGCAGGCTGTACAGCTACACCATCAACCCGTCGCAGGAGGTGGTGGCTCTGGGTGCGGCCAATTTGCTGAGCCCCTTTGTGGGAGGCTACGTCTGCACAGGCTCCTTTGGCGCCTCGGCCGTGCTCTCCAAGGCAGGCGCCAGGAGTCCCCTGGCCGGGCTCTTCGGCGCCGGCGTCCTCGTCCTCACCCTCTATACCTTGACGGCGGTCTTCTACTATATCCCCAAGGCCGCCCTGGCGGGCTTGATCATCCACGCAGTATGCAACCTGTTGACCCCGCCGAGGAAGCTCTACAAGTACTGGCAGTTGTCACCACTCGAACTCTTGGTTTGGGTAGTCAGCGTCATGTTCGCCATCTTCATCTCTCTGGAGGCATCCATCTACTCTGGTGTACTCTTGTCCTTTGTTTTCCTTTTGACCCGCATTGCCAGGACGCGGGGCACCTTTCTCGGACGCGTGCGGGTGCAGCGCGTCGCTGGCGGAAAGTGCTTGAGGCCTGATGAAGACGGCCTATGCGCGTCTCGCAAGGTGTTTTTGCCCCTGGACGGTCAAGACGCACCAAACCCCAACGTCTTGGTCGAGTCCCCTTATCCAGGCGTCTTCGTGTACCGCCTGAACGAGGGCTACAACTATACCAACCAAGCCTACCACATGGATACGTTGAATAAGCACGTCATGGAGCACACAAAGCGCATGTCGGCGGAGCATTTCGAAAAAGAATCGGATCGTCTATGGAACGATCCGGGGCCGAGGGTGTACAGGGAAGACACGGAGGCGCTTCCCTACCTCCGTGCCGTGGTCCTCGACTTTGCCGCCGTCAACCACGTGGACGTCACCTCGGTTCAGGGCTTGATTGACTTGAGGAACTTGTTGGACAGCTATTCGTCGCCTGATGCTGTCGAGTGGCATTTTGCCAACGTCCACAACCGCTGGACGCGCCGAGCGCTCGCAGCCGCTGGGTTTGGATATCCAACGTCGCAAAATCCAATGGAAATGAGCAACTGGAAGCCTCTATACAGCATCGCGGCGACTCTCACGGGAATGAAAAGCGCAGGCGTGGCCAATGGCCAACATAGAGCCGACACAGACGTGGATGAAGAGAAGACTACGGGGTCGAGGACTCCAGGGTCAAGGACGGCGTCCGCAGACTCGACGTACTCGGCCAAGAGAACGGCTTCGGGTAGCAGTTCAAGTAGCACCCAAGACCGGGGCATGGCCAGTGTCTCGGGCGTCAACCGGCCGTTTTTCCACGTCGACTTACAGGATGCGGTGGACTCGGCGGTGCTGGATGCGCGAAGCAAGGATGAGAACCTACTATGAGACGGGTCGGCGAAACGGGGCCAGGGAGATGGGAGTAAAAAGATGGGCGTTTTGGTTCGGCTGTTGTTGGAAAGAAACCAAGTGCCAAGTGACAGGACCATTGCCCCGAAAGCATCGGGGTGAAGCGACATAGAGTACATAGAGGCTTCCTCGGGCGGGAGGCAGCATTAATACGCAGCACTGTGATATGGTGACACGTCAGTCTACACTTGAGATGTACATGAGCAGAGCAGAGAAGCGACGGTGAAAACGGCGCAAGAGCCGGGAGTGGATTCGGGCCGTCTGAGGTGTGCTGGATTCCGAATACCCCAGAGCAGCTGAGGAGTTTCTGCCTTGGGTTGTTTGCTCTGGGCCGAATAGCAACACTCTTTCCCCCCTCTCCGACTGAAATCTGCTTTTCCCACTCATTCTTTTCGTCTCAAACCTCTGGTCATGGCAGAGAGAAAACTGTCATGGTGGGCGTCGGACTGCTCCATACGTGAGGGACCCAAAACAAAGAGTTGTCTCAGGACCGGGACCCCGGAGCCGCTTTGGGCTAGAGGGATGCACATTATTGGCTGGGGGCGGGGAGGGGCCGGCTTCGGGGGCCGGGGCGGCTCCACCGACGCCGGGTTGGGAGTGAGCTTGACGAGCAGGCCTTGTCGACGGTCAAAAATAGTTAGACTATTATAATAATCTCTGCGTGCGTTGGTTTCAGGCTTGGTCCGGTACTGTCCAAAACTACCTCGGCAAATAGCTGTATCGCACCCAGTCAGCAAGCATCACGTATAGGGCTCCTCTTTGGAAAGCAAAGGTAAGGAGAAGAAAATACAGCAAAGAGAGAATGCTAGGTGAAGCCTCCTTCATTCAGGTCTGGTACCTGACGCATGCACTTTCTCGTACCAAATAGCATGGCCCGTGATGGTCTTTCTGATTGGCAACTGCAGAGTTTTATGGTACCTCGTCGAAACAAAGCACGTATAACTTCTCCGTACAGAGTAGTCTCAGCAGTATTAGATACATGCTCGCTGTGGAATGATCCCCCACCCGGGCCGGGCAAGGGGTGCCGGACGCGGCGCAGGCACCGGCGCGGCTTTCCCCTCCATCGACTCCCGCTTCGGCCTCATCCAAGCCCCAACGCTGGAGTGAACAACATCTGCTCTGATCAACCTATTTTCTCCGACTCGCCTGCAGCATATCATATTACCAGACACCGCCAAGGGGCACGGGGGACAGATAGCCTGCCTGGGCTGCCGGCCATCTGCATCGGCATGATGACGTCGTCGCTGTCGCTGATGGACAAGCTTCCCAACGAGGTACGTGACGAGACGACGCCCTTGTTTCTTGGGGATCCCAGTTTCTGACCGTCAAGCGCGTCGGCTGTGGGTGAGTTTAGATGCTAGCCGCGACACTGGCACTGCTCTCGTCGCGGGAGCTCGCCCTCGTCGTCCTCGTCAGCCGCCGCTTCTACTCGGTCGGCGTGCGCGTCCTGTACCGCCGCCTCGTCGACGCGGCCCGCCTGCCGGGCCATGAGTTGATCCTCGAGTGCTACCACCCGAGCGCCAAGATCTCGACGCCCTACCTGGCCTGCCGCTACCTCGGCACCTGCGTCGCCGACGGGGGCGCCATCGACGACGGGGAGCCCGTCTTGGCCGACCTGTCTAAGCTGTACTCCTCCTTTCGGCCCGTCGTGGCGGCCGAGGAGGATGGCTGGCCTCTTGATGCGGCGGCACGGCAGCGGAGGAGGCGGAGGCGGCGGAGAAGGCTCGCGCAGCAGTCCCAGTCGGATGTCGAGGAGGCAGCATCGTCACAGCAGCAAGCAGGGCATGCAGATTGGCACCAGATCGGGGAAGCGTGGCAAGAAGACGATGAGGACGACGACGAGGACAAGGACGAAATAGCTACGCAGGACATTGGCCTCGACCGAGGCGAACTCTTCTCGCAGCTCTGCACCGTCACAAACGTCGTCAAGCAGAGCTCCAGACGGGGGCTGTTTGTGAGCCACGTCAACACATGCGACGGCGTCGTGCGCGTCTGGAGGAAATGGCTCGCCGACATGGCCGCTTCCTCGCCCATCGGCAATGGCTACGACGACGACGACAACCATGGCACCAGCGGCGAGGGAAGCACAACGATAAGCCGCGACAGGTTCCTGTGGGTAGACGCGGCCAAGAGCGTCGGGCTGAGGTTCCGCGTCGCTCCCGCGGCGGCGTCGGCGGCAGACAACCCGCCGCTGCTCTCCGGGCCGCACGACGATAGTGAGGACGAGGACGATCCGGCTGTGTCGTACACGCTCGTCTACCAAGGTACGTTGCCGTACTATGGCCGAAGGGGTCTGCAGGTCAAATGCCGTGGAATTTTCACCTTGTCTATCGGCGTCGAGAGCCATGTTTTCTAACCGTGTTGGCAGAGCTGCTCGTCCGGAGCAGCATGTTGCTCTCCGCCGTCGAGACATCAGCCTCGCAAGCGGTATCGCGCTCGACAAAGGCCGTCATCATAGCCCCGTTCGAGGGCCTCGTGCTGTGAGCCGTCAACACGGAATGTTGTCCACATCAGCCGCGCGTGCAGGCGAAAACCCGAGAGAAGAAAATTTTGTTGATGTTTACAGGATGCATGCATAATATAAGGACCGCATAGTCGCGGAACGTGTCCGTGGGCGTGGTGACGTGGATTGGGGTTTTCCTTTTCCTTCCTTCTTTTTTTTAACCTGCTCGGTTTCTTTGCCTCTGCTCCGCTTCTGGATCAGGACTTGCGGACGCCTTGGCCGGGTGCTGACTCGATGGACTGGGGTTCTCGGCAGGCGAAAAGAAAATATAAACACGATCGGGCCCCATGCTTGCTGTGGCCATCAGCCGCTCCCGGTGTGAGGATGGGAGCCGAGCCGTACGTTACCTGGTACTCGGAGTCGATCGTGTTGAGAAAAAAGGGTGTCTGTTAGGATTCCATTATTGAATGCTCCCTCATGTGTGCGACTCTACACAAGCCAATACATGTATTCCCATACTCGACATCACGTACGTGTGTGTGGATTTATATTTATATATATACGTATACATATGTACACATATATATAATGGCATTACGCACGCAGGTCCCAACACCCGGCTCACACAGCCTGCAGTAGTTCCACAGAGGGTCTGAGGGAGGCGCAAGGGAGACGGGCAGCTTAATATCGTGACCCGAGTGGAGTGGGTGGATGAAGGTGAAGAAGGGGACCGAGTAGAAGGGGCCGAAAAACAAATACATTGCCGATCTCCGCATGGTTAGAGGGAGGAAACAAGACCACTGAAAAGCAAAAAGATGATCATGGGAAAAGGAATGGTTGAGAGGCAGACAGAGGCGGTTGCTGCCTCGCTGTCAACGGCTGTGCTTCTGACGCTCTTCTTTGCTTGATGATGCTGTGGTCAGATGGGAGCAAAGACGTTTATCTCTGTCTATTTCTTCTCCTCTACCTTTATGTACTCTATAATGAGCCTGGATAGTATACGTAACCAGTCCTTTTCCCCCATCCCTTGCGTCGGCAACGGCGTCCAAGACTGGGCCAAGGAGGGTGGTCGGACCCGCAAGAAACTTACCTACCCTATAGCCAAGGATGCCCTGACCTGTGGCCCTCACCAACTTTCCCCTCCTGTCACCATGAACGCGCGTGTGCGCGGTGAGACGAGACGAGACAAGACAAGACAACGAGCCCCGGCCTTGTCCTTGCCGACGGGTCTTCTTCCGTTGCCACTGTCTTTGGACCGCCGCCGCTGATGACCATCTGTTTAGGGCCGAAAAGTCTCTGTCTTCCCCGCCTCTCTATCCGCACCAGAGTCAAGCTCGCTCGCTCTTCGGTCCTTGGTCACTGATGATGGCTGTGACGGCGGCGGCTCATGGCTCCAAAGACCCACACGCAGCGTCTGCGCGGCACGCACTGGCCTGGAATTGCCGAGCGAGCGAGGGGGAGAGAGAGGCTGCAGCGACGTGCACGACGCGCCGCCGGCGTGACGCGAGCATTGACGCCCTCCTCGCTGTCGTACGCGACGCCGCTGGAGGGCGAGCAAAATGCACTCAGCACACGCTGTTGCTTTGCTGCTTGCTGCTGCTTGCTTTGGGGAGAGCAAAGCTGCTCCGCCACGGGCTCGGCAGGGGTCCATGCTGCTCCCGTCCCGTCCAGGCGCAGCAACACCGTGTATCCCATCCTTCCTTTTTCTCTTCCACACGCCCCCGTTTTTCTTTTCCTCTTGTCCTATTTCCTTTGCATGTTTGTCTCTCTGCTGCTGCCAAGCTTACCTTGCTTGTACAGCTCATGGTTCCGCTTCCCCTCGCGCGCGCTGGGGGGTTGAGCACAGCCCGAGCTGTCCAAACAATTAACGGATATCCCATCACCCTTAAGCCGATTTCGTAGACTCCCTCACTCTCTCTCGGCTCTTCACTCTTCCCGTCTCTCGCTCTCTCGTCTGCGTGTCCGTCTCTCTTCCGAGCCTCAGCGTTTCCATCCTTGCCACCTACGAAGCTTGCTCCTCCTCTTTAACTTCTTCCCTTATTTTTGGAAACCCCCTTGCCCACCTTTCTCCCAGAGGCCCGCCTCGTCCCCTCGTTACGCCCTTCGTTTCTAGTTTTTCCGTTGATCTTTTCCCCCTCATTCCTCTCAATAGTCGGCCTCGCTGCAGACCTTTCTCATCATCAGAGTGCCATGAGTAGTGACGTCTAGTGCGGCCCTCCGAGGAAGAGCTCCCTCTCCCCCCCCATTTTCTCACCCATCCCCCCTTTCCCTCCAGTTCTCCCCTCGAAGACGCCTCGCTGCCTCCCAACGGCTCGTCTTGTTGCATGCAGCTACCGATGGACTGGGACTTCAACAGCAGACCCATGGCCATCACGGAGCCTCCGTTGGCTCGCTCGCCCGAACCGTCGTCCCACGCCACGAGGGAAGATTTTGGCCATGGGCCACCACCTCTTCCCAAGTGGCCCATCCCCATGACGGCGTCTTCGCGAAGCTTGTCTTTCGGCTCTTTGTCCACCCATCACAAGGTTGTCAAGTGCGGCAGAGGGAAGCATTCAGACGTCGAGCTCATTCCGCAGCCGAGCGATGACCGGCATGATCCATTGGTGTGTTACTCGATTGTTTGCCTCTTTTGCTTTTGAGCAAGGAACATGAACAGCACAAAGGTCGGTTCGGGAGGCTTACAACCTGTGAATAGAATTGGCCGCGCTGGCGCAAAGACTTGAACCTCATCTCCCTCCTCGCCACCGTCGGTCTCGTCGGCGCCATGAAGACGGCCTTTGTCACCACCAGCGGAGCCATGGCCACTCAGTACAACGCCTCGTACACGGCCATTGCCGCTCTGACGTCCGTCCCCGTCGTCTTGTCTACCGTCACCGGCCTTGCCAGCTCCATGATCGCCAAGCTCTGGGGCAAGCGGCCCATGTATCTCGCTTCGGCCCTACTCCTTCTCGCCGGCTGCATTTGGACCTCGGCGGCCGGCGACAGCTTCGCCTCCTGTATGGGCTCCCGCGTGCTCCAGGGCCTCGGCTGGGGCGCCTTCGACACCCTGGTGCTGGGCTCCATCCAAGACACGTACTTTGTGAGCCCAACCCCGTCTCTCCGATTGTCTCTCTGTCTTGGGCTTTTCATATTCTCCTACATCCGAGTCCCGGCTGATCTAACCGCGCCGGCGGCGGTGCTACAGGAGCACGAGCGTAATCTGCCCGTCTCCTTGTACAACATCTTCACCATTGCCACCACGTGGGGGTCTCCCCTCATTGGCGGCCTGATATCAAACACCTCCGGCTCCTTCACCACTCAGTTCCGCATCATCAGTGGGCTCCACGCCCTCTCGCTTCCCTTACTAGCCTTGGGGTCCCCCGAGACGGCTTTTGACAGGTCCCGATTGCCCGTCATGGCCCCGTCCCCCGGATTCGGCACGAGCGTCAGCCGCGGCGGCGCCGACGACGGTGACTCGTGGTCGTACTGTCTCCGCCATCACATCAGCGTGGACCGGGCGACGGGCTATGTCAAAGGCGTGCTCAACCCACCGCCCTTTAAAGGGCCCAAGACGCTGCCCACGGCGCTGCAGGCTCCGCGGGCCCTCATCGCGCCGACGACGTGCCTGCTCTTCGCCCTATCCTCGATCCCGCACGGCGCGCTCTGGGGCTTCGCCACCTCGGTCGCCCTCTTCACCGCACCCCCGCCCCTGGCCTTGGGCCCGGCCAGCATCGGCGCCCTCATGGTCGGCCCCTGGATCATGGCGACGGCCGTGGTCGGCGGCTGCTGCTTTTACCGGGGCTTCCACCAAAAGTTCACCCGGCGCGTCAGCTACGCCATCGTTGCCGTCGGCACCTTTCTCGTCCTCATCGGCCTGCTCTCCTTTGGCCTCGGCCTCCACAACTTCATGACGCTCGACCGGCACCGGCCCCGCGGCCCCGCGGGCCCCTTCTCCCTCGCCCTCGCCTTTTTCACCCCGCAGGCCGCCCGCCAGCTCAGCCTGCCCCTGCTGTCCTTCCAGCTCGGCGTCCTGGCCGCAGGGCTACACGTCCTCGACACCACGACGCGCCCGCTCCTCGTCCGCTCCGCCTCCTTCACCTCGTCCAGCATCGCCGTCGCCCACCGCAGCATCGGCGACATGCACGCCGGCGTCATCATCCTGCGGAACCTCGCCGCCGCCGTCTTCGTCGCCGCCATGCCCGCCGCCATCACCCACGTCGGCGGCCTCAAGGCGGCCGCCATCGGGCTCGCCGTCGCTCACGCGTGCCTCGCCGCCGCCATTGTCGCCCTCTGCTGGTTCGGCGACGAGGCCGTTTGGAGGGCCGACGGCAGGGTCATGGGTCTGGTTGACCTGCGGCTGCTCAAGCAGTCGGTCAGCTTTTTCGAGCACGACTGACGCTGCTCTAAGAGCCGTCCTTTGAGAGAAAAAAAAACGGAGAAAAAGGACAAGTGAAAGAAAGCACGTCCAGGTCAACAATACAGGACGAACACAAATAGAAATGAAACAGGCGAGAGAAACGAAATAATACGACATGCCGAAGAAGAGAGACGAAAGACCAATAAGCAACCAAAACACCCTTGGCCTTGGTCCCAGAGCAACTGTGGTTTCTCGGCCACGGTACCCTGCCCCCTCTCCCGACATGCAACGAGAATAGAGGTTGTACCGGACGACGACGCCTACGCGGACCGGTTTTCCTCCCCCCCTCTTTTTCACCTTTACATTCTGCCTTTGCCAGCGATACCACAGTTTCAGGCTACCCCCTTGTCACTTGCTTCACACTTCAAGTCTCTCGTTCACGCGTCCACGAGTCCCGGCTGTCCCTTGCCCACGAACCACGACGAAAATAATGATTCAGATCAGCATCCTTTTTGTAAAAAAGAAATAGAAGTTAAAAAGCCAAGAACACATTTCGTCGCTTGTTCAGACTCTCATTATTCGTCGTGATGCCTATCGTAACTAGTCTCAGCCGCGCTGAGAAGCTTCCTTCGAGGCTCCATGCCAGGGCCTCGTTAAGCTCGAGTATGTAAAGGGTATCAGGTATAGTACAAGAGTACAGGTTGGGGGGCTGCCCCTTTTTTCCACACCCTTCTCCACCATTCTGCCGTCCCATGTGCGCTGTCCGGTGTGCCATGGCCGGCTACCGATTCGCCGTATCATGGAAAGAGGAACCCCTCTCTCGCCGCCTATTCAAATCATCGACTGGCCGTCCTGTTCACCTGTTGCTCCGACACGCGGCGCAGTTCGACGTCGCTACCCATGTTTCCCGACTCAGCGTCGTCAAAGTCCGTATCGGTCCGCAAGTCGTCTGCACGATTGGTTCGGTCTCGGCCCGCAGCCCGGTCCATGGTGCCATTGGCGTCATCTCTCGACGGTTGCGACACCTCCATCGGCTTGCCCAGGATGAATCGCTTCACGACCCGCCAGCTCGTGATGAAAAAGATGAGAAAGTTCCACAGCCCCTGGAGAGGCAGCACAGCCGCGGTCGCGACATGGTACTCGTAGGGCGAGGAGCCGTCGAGCCAGCCGTGGATGCGATTCAGGCTGCTGGGAATCCACGTGACGAGGACGCTCAGGGCAAAGAGCAAGCTCGTGCGCAGGTAGGCTCGCTTGACCGGGTCGTCGATGACAAACTTGGACGCAGTACGTCTGACCGCCCTGACGATGAGGCTAAGGGGTGACGTGAACTTGGCACGACGCGGCGCGGCGGACGTGACGGTCGAGTAGTACTGCGCATCAGGGGCGTTCTGCCTCTCGGGGGAGGAGGCGCTATCGAAGGAGACCTGTCCTGTGGTGGGGAGACGGGCTCTCTTGGGCTCGAGAAGGGTGTTGACGCCCGCCGAGGCTGACGAGTGCACAACTCGGACTTCGGTGGTGACGGTGCCGTAGAAGCCATCTCGTCTGTTCCCGTCGTCGGGGATAGCCTGCCCAAAAATGGCGTCTACCGTTAGCTGCCAGCCTGAATAAGGAGAGAGAATAGCGGCTAGGGAGAGGCTGTATGGTACCCGCTCATAGTGGCCCGCCTCGCGACTCTTAGAAGCAGGAAAGCTGCGGAGCTGATTCCGCGACCGAAAAACGTGATATCCAACCAAGAGATAGCAGACAAAGGAGCCGGCGATGCAGATCCAGATGAGCATGTAGTAAGTATAGATGCGAATACTATCCCACCTGTCATCAACCCAACACCAAATCTATGTCGATTCCGAGTCAGCTTTCCGAATGCACTCTCCTGACAGGCAAGACGGCAGACTTACCGTTGCTTGCCCATAGATGAGGCCGCGCGGGCTCTTGACAAGGAGGAGGGTCAGGGCGATGACAAAGGGTCCACCGTAGCAGATGAGGCAGTACAACCACCACCAGCGGCGAAAAGAGTCGGGGCTGGTGCGGAAGTAGAAGACGAGGAAGACGTTGATGGCCATGGCTAGAGACCACCAAGGGTCGGATTGCATGAACCTGGCGAGGAGTCAGCCGTATGTCGGACCGTTGGGCGCCCGGTCTCAGTCAGGTGTAACAAGCGCAAACTGCCGAAAACGAAATAAAAGGCCTCACGGTGCTTCAGGTGAGGCAAGCGCTGCATATTCTCAAGCGAGAAGACCCTTGTCCAGTACGCTCCCTTTTCCCTTTTCTTCTCGTTCCCCGAAGCCACAGGAAGCGGAAGCGACAAGGCGAAAGGAAATGGCCGGCAACTCACATTTCGAACAAGAAACTTTGCGTCTGGCAAAGCGCGGTTCCCTTGCCCGCCTGCAGGCCATCGAGGGCGATGATGCTGGCGATGCTGGCTCCGACGTTGGAGACGCTGGCGAAGACGATGAAGGTGTTTTGTACGTTGCGGACGCTGCGGATCAAGGCGTAGGCGAGAAAGATGAACACGAGGGCGACGAGGCTGATGGAGCCGCCAGCGCGCTCGAGCGAGACGAGAACATCGACCTGGTGCTGGTTGAAGTGATCCTTGATGGGCAGCGAGCTGACGGCTGGTCGAAACACCATCTTGGCCCTGGATGGACGAGGACGCTCCTCGCCCAAGGCTCTATTGAGACGGAAGGGGGGAACAGGGCGAGTTTATGGGACGAGACGATAATACCGCGGGTGAAATGCCGAAACGCGAGATGGAAATAAGGATGCCCCCGATATGGGCCCGCAGTCGGGGTAAGTGCAGGCTGTGTGGCTGGGGCAACGGGAGACAGGCGAGAAGAGGGAAATTTTGGGGCGAGATGCGGGCGATGATTGGGGCAGAAGGCTATCGGGAGCGGCAGATGGCGAGCAGCCGGTGGCCAGCTCTGAGTTGTTGCGGCGTGCCGGTGAGTGCGACCATACGAGCCTCTTTGTGTGCGCGCATGTGCGAGCCTGTGCAGCCAGCCGTCCACGAAGCAGCCCGTTATATAAAGGTCCTCGAGACTACTGTACCACGGCGGCGGCTGCACCCTACCGCACGGGCGGGAGAGTCAAGGACGAGAGGGTGTGTTTCTGGCTGCTATATTTGCACTCTATCTATGCGCCTCGGCAGTCCAGACAGAGAGCGGGAGCGGGAGCAGGGAAGCAGGCACAGGGACCGCGCTGGCTTTAGCTCTCTCGCCTCTCTGCCGCATTGACGAGACGTGGGAGCCTCAGTCAGAGGCCCGATGAAGCGAGGGCTCAGTCAACAACATAGAGTGGCCGTTTGGCAGCTTCCGAGTTTGGCAGCAACCTGTAACAAGCGGATATTAGGGCTGAGGTTGTATCCGTAGCAGGGTATTGTTACCTTGGTTGCGCAGCACACGTCGCGGCGGTTGGTCGCGCCAAGGGCTCGTCATGCCGTGCTGTCGGCCTACATACGCCCGAACAGGAGAAGAGTTGCCCGACGGCGTCTGGCGTAAGCACGTGTGTACGCATAGATGGGACGTGAGATGGGACGTGCAATGCGTATGTGCAGCCGGATCTTGGGCAAGCGGAGAGACTGGCATCAGCGGCGCATGCGGTCCGCCTCATGGCAGCAGGAGCTCACGGCGGAACGTGGAAGGCGACTGCCCATGTATGGCCCTGGTCGGGTGCTCATCCAATATCCATCAGGCAGCGGCCAAGGAGCCGGCAGGCCATGTTGGGATGGACCAATCTGGCTATGTGTGCGCCGTGAGCCTGCCCAGACTGTGGTGGTTAGCATCAGCGGCGCACATGCCAACCCCAGGGGAGTGCATACTTGTTCTTTCATCTTGCATCGGTGGCGGTGACAGACAGGCAGGCAGCATCATGGCACACATTGGGCGAGAGCGTGCACACCCGCATCGTCAGCCGCCGTGCGTGGCCCGCTGCTCCGCGCGCCGACGCCAGGCTGTCGAGTTCAGTGCTGTTGGTCGTTGTCCGGGGGTGGCTGGGATGGGATGCCGGGGTCAGCGGTTCGTCCGGACCTCTGGACCATTTGCTCGACTGACGCCGAAGGAGGACAGGGGCGTCTGCAGGGCTCGAGAAGTTGGAGAGGGAGGGCAAAGTGAGGGCGGTCGAGACAAGGAAAGACCGCGGGCCATGTCAGGGTCTGCGTGCCTGCCTTGTCTGTCGAGGTACGGGTACTTTGCGGGAGGTACTTTTGGCCACGCTGCGTCTCGGGGGCAGAAGGAGCAGGAGACGCCATCGACAGGCTCCCGCTGCAATCGAGAGATTCGCATCAATCAACAACAGACTCGCATCAATCAACAGCCTCGCCGCAATCCACAGACTCGCCGCAGTAAAACGTCCCCGTGCGTCGAGACCCCCTCCCCTCGCTCTCCGGGGAACGCCAGTGGCGTTCGTCCATGTACCACCGACCGCAGGCCTCGCCCAACGCCTTGCCCGTTTGATGCTTCGGCGCCCGGGCCTTGGGTCTCCATCTCCTCGCCCGGGCACTAATGTAAATTCATCGCGGAGAGCGGCCGTCGTAACAGGTAGGTGGTCATCCTACACCATGCATGATGGGGGTGCCGCGTATCCGCACATGGCAGCATCCATCAATATCCAGCCGCAGCACCAACATGGCCTGGACTTGAGGCCCCGGACAACATGTGCACCGAGTGCAGACCCTTGCCTGCCTACATGAGCGAAATCCCATTGTCGACGGACCGAGCCGCCACAGCACTCTCTTCTGCTCCTGCGGCCGTCCAAGGTGATCCTTTGCAGCCCTCTGCGGTCGTGGTTGCGGTGGTTGCGGTGGGTGCGGTGGTTGCGACTCCAGTCTATCGAATAGCCCTGATGCCGCCTACACGAAAAGCCCTGGCGAGTAGATGCCACGCGAGGTGAGCCGTCCTTCCCAACCCAGCTTCGAAAGCTAACAGGCGCGTGTAAACAACCCATGCGTCCACCCTCTGTTGGCCGTTATATCGGCCCACGATGCAGTCTCCAGCCACAGACCCCAAGCTCTCCCCGGCCCCATGACGTCGGCCTTGTCCAGCACGGAGCACTCGCCGGTTCTTGCGCACACGCGCTTGCCACGAGGAGCATGGCTACTATTCTTGTCCCTTGTCCCTTGGTGATGTTGCTTACGTCTTTGTTTACTTCCGCCGTTTCTACAGTACATCTTTCGTCTCCACGGACAAGGCTGCTGGTGCCTGCTTGCTCCTGTCTCCTCCTACCATAGACCTGCTCGTTGGTCGGCTCGACTCACCACGCCTCGAGCCTACCCAACGCGTCAGAGCAACATCAATTTCCCATCTATCCTGCAGAAACTGGACTCCTTAAGACACACAACGGCAAGACAAGCCTGCGGTATTTTACCTCCCCTTTAGACCAAGAAATTAGACCAAGAAAATGAAGTAAGGGTTTCAACATCTACTCGAGAAAATATACCTCAAACAACCCCCTACTACAAGCCCAGAGTCCTTTTATCCCGCACCGTGTCCACCTCTTGTCATCTCGTAGGGGAATATCTCGGGTACAGAAGAATTCGCGAAGAAAAACAGCTCATCCCTGGCCGGGCATGGTGGAAAGGGGGGCCGTTCGCCCGCCCAGCGTCCGAATCGACTGTCTTCCCCCATCTTACCCGGCCTCCTACCACACAGAAACGGAAAACAAGACTGTACAGTGCTCCCCCTACAGGGTGTAGATGAAGTCGGGCCGCTTGTCACCGAGGGCGTTGATCTCGGCGACCGTCTTGCCCTCGACCCAGTGGTCGCGCTCCCCGTTTCTGCGCTTCCTGTTCTCGATGCCCAGCAGGGTGTACATGAGCAGGCTGCCGCCCAGCATGCACACAACCAGGTAGGCGGTGACAGTGCCGTGGCCGATGAAATAGCGCGGCGGGTCTCGGTAGATGTTGCTGCTGACGATGCCGTTGAGGTTGCCCCAGCCGATGACGAAGCCGAGGACGATGCCGCGCTTGTAGACGCCCTCGACGTTGTTGGCGACCCAGGCAATGGTCAGGGAGATGCTCGGGTAGATGCCGCAGGCGCCGAGAAAGGTGCCAAAGTACTGCACGCCCGGCTTCGTCGACGCCATGAGCATGATGAAGCCGGTGATGCCGACGACGGCGCAGCCCACGTTGAAGACGCCGCGCTTCTGCGTGCGGTCGGACCAGAAGCCGACGACGACGGTCAGCACGGCGGCGACGGCATAGGGCGGCACGCTCAGCAGCTGGTTGCGGACCACCTGGGTGCTGTCGGTGAAGCTCATGGCCTGGATGATGCTGGGCAGGAAGATGCTGAAGGCGTAGAGCGGCATCAGGGGGCCCATGTAGATGAGCATGCCGGCGTACGTCTTCCAGTCCTTGACGGCGGCCCAGAAGTAGGCCATCTTGAAGTCCTCGTGCTCGGCCGAGTGCTGGCCGTCGCGCTTGAGGCGCAGCAGCACGCGCGCGCGGTCGTCCTTTGTCAGGAAGCGGGCCTCGTCGGGGAAGTCGTGCACCATGAAGAAGGAGGCGAGGCCAATGGCAATGGTCAGGCCGCCCTCGATGATGAAGATCCAGGCCCAGCCGGGGATGCCGCGGAGGCCGTCCATTCTCTGGATGGCCGCGGCCAGCAGCCCGCCAAAGGAGCCGGCGACGGCGGCGGCCGAGAAGAAGATGGCGGCGCGGACGCCAAACTCGTTGCGCTTGTACCAGCAGCTGAGATAGTAGTTGATGCCCGGGAACAGGCCGGCCTCGCAGACGCCGAGCCACCAGCGGGCGGCCATGAGGCCCGAGAAGTTTTTGACGAAGCCCATGCCCAGCATGCAGGCGCCCCAGAGGATCCTGTCGGCCGCGTCAGCCGCCTTTTCCCCTCGGCGCGCATGGCTCCACTTACATGATGGACGGGATGAAGATGGACGGGCGCAGCCGCTTGAGGAGGAAGTTGCACAGGGCCTCGAAGATGGCGTAGGAGAGGAAGAAGATGGTCAGCGTGGCCGCGTACTGCTCCGACTTGGGATTGATGCCCAGGTCGCGCTCGAGGTGGGCGATTTTGGCATTGCCGATGTTGGTGCGGTCGAGGAAGCAGACCAGATAGAGGAGCGAGAGCTGTCCGCGCCAGGGTGAGCTTCTTTTCCCCCGGCGTGCACGACCCGAGGAGGCTCTCGCGTAGAACGTACCCAGGGGATGAGCTGAAGGTCGAGCTTCCAGAGCAGCTTGCGCTCCTGAGGGCGTCATGTCTCCATCAGCACCCACGTCGTCATGGCCAGGAGGAAGAACATGGCGCGCGCGCGCAACTCACGGCCGCCTTCTTCTCGAGCTCAGATAGACCGGCATCCGGGTCGACGACGTGGCCGACGTCGGAACTGGACGAATTGTCGATGATGGGCTTGCCAATCGAGCTCATCTTTTCGGCGTCGACGCTCATGGTGACGGCGATGAGCGGTAGACGAGCCCGAGGAGGGGAAGCCGAGGGGGGGTGAGAGCGCACGCGGGCGCGCCGGGCAGGCAAAGGAGACGACGAAGGGATGAGAGCGAGCAGAGGAGCGGAATGTCGTCAGCGCGTTGGTTGATTACCGTGTGGTAGGAATAGGTCGGCGGGCAAAGGCCCTCGTCGTCAAGCCCGTCTCGCTTCTTTAGCGCATGTGGCGCCGAAGAGCAGGTCAGGGGATGCGATCCTTTTCTTCTCCTACCTGCTTATGAGGGGCGGGAAGAAGCTCGGCGAGGATGAGAAAAGGGGGTGAATAATGAATGGGAATCGAGCATGAACAGGGGCGAGGGGATTGGGAAAAGACGCCCGTCTTGGTGGTGGTCCTGCCACTGCTGCTGCTGCTCCAAAGCGGCACGCACCGGCTGGCATCCATCAAACCCGTCAATGGACATGCAGCACGGAGGCTATCGGGGCATGTACATAGATTTATTACCTGGGCCGTGGGAAACGGCTGGCCGCGGCTAGTTACAGCCCAGCCAGCAATGGCCAGGAACATGCATGCATACAAGCCTTGTACATGTGGCCGTTGTCTGTGACGCTGCGAGGTAAGTTATACCGAGTAGTTTCCAGCGGCCTGTCTGTCGGCCAACTGAGGAGCAAGCAAGGATCCCCTCCATCAGCCAGACCCTGTCGGGCTTGCACCTCGATGAACGCGGGGGAAGGTTTCCATCCTGGCTGTACGAGGGGGAGTCGTTATGTCTCGAGGATGCCACCAGCATGGATGATAGATGATACAGGGGCAGGGAAGCAGGCATTTTGATTCTGGGGGCCCCGGCCAACAAGACCAGGACCAAGACATACCTAGACATGCAAGGTACTCCGCTGCCAGCCCTACCCTGTTGATGTTGTTGTTCTTCCTCGATAGCTAGCTATGCCCAACAGCCTCGAGAGCTGCCTTTTCTCTCGTAATACCTTCCCTCCACATATTCCGGGCGCACCGACTCATAAGCGAAGCTTGCCCTCCGTCTCGGCCTACGCCTGCTGTGACGAGGTTGAAACCAAACGCCGGCAACGAGAGCCGGAGGGACGGCAGCGGCTCAAGGCACGGAGAATACGGGATTCCCCCCCCGTCTGCTGTACCGCGCCGAGAGGGGAAGACGAGACGGACTGTTGGTTGCTGCGAGACTTGGACATGCACCGGGCTGCATGTACATCAACAAGGATGGACGGACTCTATTACTCCAACACTGCACTGTCCTCGGCGGCACAGCATGGCCACTGAACTGACTGATGGTTCTCCAACTGCCCAGTACAGATACATCCGTGGATGTGACTGATGAATACCTCCGACGTGCAACATGCATGTACGGTAAGCAGGTTGCTTTGCAGCCTCTGGACCGCCCGGGCCAACAGCAACGGACAGGCAGGCAGGGGTTCTCTCCAGCTCTCTCTCTCCGACGCCCCGACTCCCTTGAACCAGCCCGCCTCGTGGGCCGAGACACAAAAGACGCCCGACAGCGTTGCACACCGACGTCCATGCACATATTGTACTTGCCCTTTACTGTACCTGAGGTTTGAGGTTGCTGCATGTGTATGGTGGCCTCGAGTAAAGGAGGATCTGGACAGTAGCATTCCGTCCTGGTTTCGGACTGGCCCCCTCCCTGGTCGGATGGACGGAGGGTGGCCACGGCTGTGGATCGCCCGTCGTCAGCGTCGTCGATGCGCCGTCCGCTTCTCCAACTCTCTCCTAATTACAGTCTGTACAGTACATGCTGTCCATGCTGTCCATGCATGGTCATCGCAGTCATTCCGCCTGCAGCGCAACGTCCGCTGCACCACGTCCCGCCGCCCCCCTGCGCCATCCACATCGGGCGTCGTCTGCCTCTGTTCTTCCTCCTTGCTCTCAGCAAAAGGGCGTGATTGCTTCACCCGGCCCTGTTCCAAGCTGCTGCCACGCGAGCCGGCCGCAGTGCGACCCCAAGCTGTGGGAGGGCCGGAGAGCGCGACACGCCCGTCAGCATCATCACCGCCATGGACTTCATCGTTCGGATCTTGTTCAACCTGTCTCTATTCCCTCAGCCATGGATGCTGCCCCTTTGTATACACACAATACACACAGTCGAATCATCAAATAGCCAGGCCTGCGACGTGGGCACAGTGCGCGTCTTTTCTCGCTTGCGCGCGTGCCTCGGGGCCGGAGATGGGTTCCCAACTTGATGCTTGTCCGTCGATCGGTTTGCTCTACCCACGGAAGGCGACTTTTTTTCCCTCTTGGCCCGCGACAAGAAACTCAGGTGCCCTAGCTATGTATGATCTATGGAAGCTGTGACGGCCTAGCACCGTCACACCCCCTTTGCATACATGACCCACATGTTGCTGAGCCAACGGCCCACACGTACGGAAGGCATATTTAGGGAGAGGACACCCAGTTGTATTGTTCTGTTCTCCTTTCTCTTCTTCAGAGCAGAATCTTCGTAATAGAGTCCACAGCCTTCTGGCTCAGTCCGTGACCGTCACACTATTCTGCTCTCTACCACGCCATCGCTGCCGAGCGATTCATAAGAACGCCACGACTTTACCCCATGCCAAGACTGCGCTCGGCCGGCCCACTTGAACAGGACACGGCCCTCCATAGATCGCAGCTCCCACGACCCGTCTTACCAAGCATCGAAGATCAAGACCAAGACCAAGACCAAGACCAAGACCAAGACCAAGACCAAGACCAAGACCAAGACCAAGATCAAGATCAATACCAAGACCAAGACCAAGACCAAGACCAAGACCAAGATCAAGACCGAGATCAAGACCAAAGAAACAGTTCAGGGACCATCGAATCGCACATAACCATCCAGGAAGGACAGGGACCTAAAATGGCTGACAGAACCAATCAGGAGGGCAGCAGCGGCTTGTTCACCGAATTGTCTCCCGAGCAGAGACAGCAATTAACCGACCACATCAGCCGAGAAGTGGCCCGTTTGGTCGCCCAAGTACGAGTGACCGAGCCAAGAGACAGCCAATATGGTGAAGATGAAGTCAGCACACCAGGCCAACGGGAAGGAACAGCCTTTGACGACCGCGAAGAATTCCGGCCGTCAGGATATGCGGCCCTTTTAGCCTTCCGGAGATATGAGTCGATGGATGGCACCAACCCAAACTATAGAGAGGGACGGAAACGTCGGGGAGAGAAACCCACCATGTTCTCCGGCGAAGGGACTCTCGTTTGAAAGCTGGATTAAGCAAGTAGAGGGCAAGTTCGAGGAGGACAACGATACTTTCGCCTCTGAGAAGACGCGGATCAACTTCGTGATTACGCGTCTCGAGGGCACCGCGTATAAGACCGTAGAAGGACGCCACCACTCGCTGACTCGGCCTTTCACAACATTGGCCGAACTAATCCAGGTCCTCCAGACAGCGCACACAAACCCAAACAAAGGCGCCGACGCCCGCGCCCAGCTGCGTGTCTGCAAATACGATTGGAAGAAGGACTTCAATATTTTCTTGGGGGAATTCAACTCCATGTACGAGGCGGCGGGGTACCAACCTTCAATGCAGAAACAGACCCTGTGGGACTCTCTTCCTGCTCCGGTCAACCAAGCGGTGGTCGAGAGGGTCTACGATACGAAAGTGCGCTACGAGGACTTCTGTGAGTCAGCACAGCACCAGGTGTTCGTGGCCCGCCACAACTTTTCCGAAGCGCAAAAGAAGCGCAACCACTCTAGTAGTAGTGGTGCCCGAGGGGTTCGGAACAATGGCGGCAACCGTAACAATGCCCGTGGTCGCCACCGGGAACAAACTGGCAACGAAGGGGCTAGCCGGGAAGCTGGAGGGAACCGTATCTCCGAGGAAGAGAGGAACGTCGCCGCATCAATAACCTGTGCTACCGGTGCGGAGAATCTGGGCATATCGCCCCATTCTGTCGCACCCGCAACAACAACACCCGAAAGGCAACCACGAAGACCGTGGAGAGCAGGCGGCCCCAGTCAGCGCAGCGACAACCAACACCGCCACGGGCAAGGGCAAGGTTTGCGACCCAGACTCGAGCAGTTCGGAGTCGGAAAACGAGTAGGCCAGGACAAAGTCTCGTTCCTGGCCGACTTGGTGTCTGTGATTGGAGCGGCGGATTTGGACAGACTCATAGGGGGCAAACAGCTGACAATCTCATCTCGCCTTAAATTGAACAACATGTCTATTCTCATTCGTGCCCTTGCAGACACCGGAGCGAGTATGTATCTCGCCATTAACCATAGGTTAGCGAGAAGAGCGGCCTCACAACTTGGGGCCCAGAGGAAGAGGCTTGATCAGCCAATTCACCTAAAGGATTACGCGGGAGTCAAGCACAAACACCCGATCAAGGAGGTTTTTATGGACTTCGAGATTGATGGACGACTCTAAAGAACTTACCATTCTTGGTCGTCCGGATGGACTACGACATCATCATTGGCAGGAAATGGTTTGAACAACACAGGGTCGCCGTTGCGCCTGGACTCAGGAAACTTCTCTGGTCATCAGGACGGGAAGGCGCGACGAGATTATCGGGCCGAAGACGAGACAGTCTGGGGAAGCCGTCCTGGCGAAACCCGACGATTCCAACCACGCGAGTCGACGCCGATAATCCGCAGCAAATCCGCGCTGTTTCCGGTACGGAGCCTATCCAAGGAAGGGGAAAACGGACGACCAAGAGGACGTCATCCGTGACTGTGGTCGCCTTGCTACCGACCAGCGTCTGGCCGGCCAGGAGAGCAATGCCGGCGGGCCGCCAACGTGTTCGGCACAAGCGCAAGCCCCAAGAATTCATGAACTAGCGTCTCCGGGAGCAAAGGGGACCCAAGTCGACCAGAGTCAATTGCCACAGGATGGACCACCCCACGACCACGACTCTGCAGGCCGACGGGGTGGTTGCCAGCTTTCTAAACCCGCAACAGGACCGGGAACTTCAGGGCTGCTGACAGCCCGCCTTAAGAGAATTCAGAGTGCATCGCGCCTCGGAGAATTGGCTCGAAGAAGTGTTACGGTGGCTCACGTGAACCCGCAAACGCCAGAGATGCCTAAGGTACCACCGAAGGACACCCGCCCAGTTATCCCACTTCCACGGGGTGAGGATGACGAGACGGTCCGCCTGATCAAAGAGAAACTCCCGACCCCGCTGGGCCATCTGGCTGGATTTTCTCGAAGAAGGAGTCTAACCAGTTGCCTCCTCTCCGCGGCCCAGGGAGGGACATGAAGATCTACCTGACCAAGCCATTGCCAGAGCGTTCGAGAGGTGTCTACCGCAACCCACATCATCTAGACGAACTACTCCGAAAGACGATTCAAGATTACCTGGACAAGGGTTTCATCGAGAGCTGCTGGCCTGGATTTGCCTCACCAGCCTTCTTTGTGCCCAAGGGTGACATGGGCATGGATTGGAGATTCGTGATCGACTACCGGGACCTCAACGACGCCAGTGCAAAGATGAAGTACCCCATGCCTCTGTTAGAAGATACCCTGGTAAAACTAGCAAGCGCCAAGTTTTTTACAAAAATCGACATCCGTCAAGCCTTCCATAGGTTGCGAATGGCCCTCGAAAGTATGGATCTGACGGCATTTCGGTGCCGGCTGGGAACTTTCCGTTGGAAGGTGATGCCCTTTGGGCTGACGAACGGCCCAGCAATCTTTCAATGCTTTATCAACGACTGCCTGAGGGATATCCTGGACATCTACTGCAGTTCGTACGCCGACGACATCCTGATCTATTCAGAGTCGGCCGAGGAAAACGTGCGCCAGACCGAGGAAGTCATTCGACGACTGGCAGCGGCAGGCCTACAGGGCGACATCAAGAAGAGCTCCTTTTGCGTCACCGAGGTGGATTACCTCGGGCTGGTGATTAAGGCGGGGGAAGGTATCGCCCTTGACCCTAAGAAGAAACAGGCCATCCTTGAGTGGAGGCTGTCGGACCTAAAATCTACGAAAGCCATCCGATCTTTCCTCGGATTGGTTAACTTTGTCCGACGCTTCTCGAAAGAAGTAAGCGAGCTGGCGCACCCGCTCAACGAGCTCCTAAAAAGGGCAATCTTCAAGATCGGCAAGCAAGAGGAAGCGGCTTTTGAAGCACTCAAGGAAGCCCTGGTCCGAGCTCCCGGAATGGGCTTCTGGAAGATAGGCGCCCCGACTCGGATAGAGACTGATGCGTCAAAGCATTCGGTAGGCGCCACCGCTTTACAACAACAGAACGACAACTCATGGAAGCCGGTGGCCTACTTCTCCAAGACCTTGTCGTCAACAGAGACGGTATGGCCTATCCAAGACCGAGAATTCCTCGCCATCATCCGCGCCCTAGAAGAGTGGAGGCCAGAGCTGGTTGGGGGCCCTTTTGAAGTAGTAACGGACCATGAAGCTCTCAAGTACTTTGCGACAAAGCGGGTTTTATCATCTCGACAAGCCCGTTGGGCACAGATTCTGTCGGAATTTGACTACAAGATGACATACCGACCCGGGAAGGAGAACATAATTGCAGATGCCCTGTCCCGGAAAAGCGAGAACTTCGAGACCGTCAGAGCCAGAGACCTGGATTCCCGCACCATGGAACTGGTCCCGAACGATCGGGTACCCGCAGAAGTTCTCGAGGAGACACATGTCGAAGCTGCTCCCCTAGACATCGCGGCAAATTCTGAGGACCGCGGCCCAGCAGTACCTGGGGAGGCACCAGCCGGAGTGTTCCTTGTGGAGCTGATTGTCCGGGAAAATGAGAAACAGATTCCCAAGGAGGACCGGCGGAAGGGAGATCGTATCTGGGTGCCGGAGTACTCGTCAGAAGGGCTCGCACTGCGAACTGCCTTAATCCGGGAAGTCCACGAACCCAAATCAAGGGGTCATCCGGGAAGAACAAGATGAAGGCGATGCTGCGGCCGTTCTATTACTGGCCACGTATGGATGAGGATCTCGCGCGCTACGCACGCAATTGCCAGGCATGCCGTAGGAACAAGGTGTGGAAAGATAAGTCACCTGGATTGCTCCATTCGTTGCCCGTCCCAGAGGAACCTTGGCATACCGTGCTGGTGGACGGAAAGGACATGCCGAATGATCGAAATGGATTCGACTACGTTTGGACGTTCATCTGCAAGCTGAGCAAGCTGATTCTCACGATTCCGGGAAAAGACAGACACCGCCGAAAGACTGGCCAAGCGATATTACCGCCGCGTGTTTGGTCACCTCGGTCTACCGAAGATTTGGCTCTCGGACAACGGACCACAGTTCATTTCGAAATTCATGGCCAAGGTCAACGAGATGACGGGAACAGAGCACAAATTCGGCAGTGCCTACCATGCGCAGACTCAAGGAGGCGTGGAGATTACCAACCAGTATCTTGACCAACGCTTGACGTTTTACGTGTCGTATTTTCAAGACGATTGGAGTGAGCATCTGGCGGCGTTAGACTTCGCGCATAACTCCACGCCGCACGACTCAACAGGCATGACTCCGATCGAGGCCTCCCAAGGGCGAGCACCCCACGCGGCTTTCGTTCATATAGCGACCGACAAGCAGGTCGGGATTGGACCGACGCCCAAAAGGCAGCCAAGGACTTTGTGAATCGAGCCAAGAAAGTTTGTTCGCTGGCAAAAGGAACGTGGAAGCGGCTCAAAGGCGCCAGGAACGATCAGCCAATTTGAAGAGAAGAGTGCCCGATTTTGATGTCGGTGACTGGGTGTTTGTTTCGAAAGGGCTGGTCAACTGACAGGCCAACAACGCGGCTAGATTCTAAGAACGCGGGTCCGTTCAGAATCGTGGCAAAAAGGGGTCACTCATTCGAGCTGGACCTACCCAAAGGCATGAGGGTGGCAAAGGTGCTGCATGCCGACCGGTTGAGAAGGGCTGCGCGAGACCCGCTGCCGGGACAGCAGGTGGAAGCTCCGCCGGCCGAGATGATTAACGGCGAGCCAGAGTACGAGGTGGCGAAAATATTGTCGTCAAGGATCTCAAGGGGGAAATTACAGTACCGAGCCGAGTGGGCAGGACAGGACCCTGACGAGCTATACTACGACGCTGAAGGGTTCAAGAATGGTGCCGCAGCTCTCAGGCGGTTCCACGACGAATATCCCGAGGCACCTGGACCGCCTGTACGATTGGCAGAATGGCTGCTAGCCGCTGCGGAAGACAGGTGGGCAGAGAGTCACAACGATGACAACAAGGCTGTCGGCCGTGGGCATGAGCGACGGCGACTGCGACGACACTCGTGAGGAGCCATCTCCACCGTTGGTGTTCGACGGCTTTAGGGGTAGTGTGACGGCCTAGCACCGTCACACCCCCTTTGCATACATGACCCACATGTTGCTGAGCCAACGGCCCACACGTACGGAAGGCATATTTAGGGAGAGGACACCCAGTTGTATTGTTCTGTTCTCCTTTCTCTTCTTCAGAGCAGAATCTTCGTAATAGAGTCCACAGCCTTCTGGCTCAGTCCGTGACCGTCACAGAAGCCGTCCCTTGATTCTGCCCAACTTCTCTTCCGCGTCCACCTCGCGGGCATGTGACCGACTCTCGCTGTCTTGGAACCTATCCGCGTCAACGCCAATCAACATGCATCGCCATCTTGCCCGTCAAAGTACACGTGATGGACAAGCATGTAGTGTGCAGAGTACCACAGCAGAGTCGCAAAATTCCCCTGCCAATGAGGGAAAGCATGTTGCGTGCGACCCTGTGTGGCCGAGCGACAAGAGATGATTTGCCTGGTGCCCGCTGTTCATCAGCCGCGTCCCCCCCCCTTTTCCGTGGGCCGTCGGCCAGATGCCTGCCTCCCGAGGCGGGGAGCAAGCATGCAAAGAACCATGAAGACCCTTTCAGCCTGTATTCGGCCATGTAACAGCGGGCAAAGGAGCCCAACTTGTGGACCGAGGCGTCATGGTTCCCTAGCACCGCATCTACGGTACGCAAACGGCTTCGTCTGACTCCACCGCGACGTTATTACTCACGTCTTCTGTTCCTCCCTGGACCTTTGACTATTACTACAAGGATCAAACGATGCCGTGTCCCATTCGCTACATGGTCAGAGAGGGGGCAGGGGGACGGGATGGAGCGGGGCGGCCATGGTGGTGGTGGTGGTCGAGGTGGATTCCGTCCGATTTATTCGCACTCGGCCCCAACGACCCAGGCTTGAAAGAGAGCCGATTGTCCAGAAATCTCTTCTTGCGGCGGCCCGGAAACGACGAGACGAGGCGAGCCGCCCCTCCAGCAAGCAACAGATGGGCCAAGCGGCGGGTCGTGGTGGGTGGCATGGTGGTAAGCAGCCACGCACAGGCAACCATCATCCACAGGCGTTGCTTGCTTGCATCCTCCCTCCTCTTTCTGTCTCATCAGTCTTCCTCTTCTCTCGGCTCTGTTGCTGGCCTCCAGCCTCCCTCCTCCCAACGACACGAACTGGGACGCTACCAACTGGCATATGGACGTCATTTCGGCGCCCCAGGCTGCAAAGGCGACTGCGTGCGACTGCGTCCGCGCATTTGCATGTGCTGTGTGTCACCTTGCGTGCATACATTCTCTTCTAATCACTCTCGTCGCCGTCGTGGGCTGTATCTCGGCGCCGGCTCTTGCTTGTATATCGGGCTCCCGAGCGACCCCCAAAGTCGCTATCTGAGCAGACTCGGCACTGCAGTCCTAGATGCTGGTTGGTTATCCGCTGGTCAAAGAACGCCAGACTCGTTTCTTCTCTTCCCACAAACCTCTCCTTGACGGCCTCCACCAGTCGTATACTCCGAGGCGAGGATTGCACAGATGCAGTCGCACTTATACCAGCACTCGCCTTGACCGGTCGTCATCCTGTCGACGTGATATTGTACATGCCGGTGGCTTGCCAACTGGTCTCACTTCTGATTTCCATGCGACGAGAACACGGTGGCTTCCACGGCCGCCAATCTCTGCCCCATGATTCAACCGCAATGCAGATCCCGTTACACACTCACTCCGTCCCCCCAGTCTACTTTGGACCCTATTCTGTGCCATAACCCTCAGAGTCTACACGTGTAATTCGCACCAGACTCTGTCGAGGCCGACCAGCCCGGGGAAACGCCTCCGTGTTGGCCGCTCCGGCTCCGGCCCCCGCTCCGCCCCCCGCTCCGGCCCCGTCCGTCCCATTGTGCAAGACCTCCCAGAAGACGCCCAAGAGGAACATCCACAGTCGTCAGCGCAGACTACATGCTCCAGAAAGCCCAACTATCCCCCGATTCGCCGCAGCATTCTCGTCCAGGACCTCCCTAGGATACGCCGTGTAACCCGCTGGACAATCCGGCCCGTGTGGCGTGTAAGCACCCCAATATCCCATTCTCCTGGGTGCCCCCCATCCCCCAGAGCCTTTCCCTCGTGCTGTGCATCTGAGCCAAGCCATCCATGCTCGATCCCAGTCTTGCACCCTCTTCCGAAGCCCGCCTCCGCCTCCGCCCGGGTGGCTGCAGAGCCTCAAGCCAACCCCAAGTCTCTCGTCGAGTCCCCACGCCAGGGTCAAGTGACCACCTCGCTCTTCCGGCCCCGGAACATGAATGCCCGCGAGCGCGCTTGGCGTCTGGTTGTCGGCTGCGCCCTCGTGGAGGCGGCGTCTTCCGCCGGCAACGTACAGCAAGTGTTGGGCGCGACTCGACACATTGACACGGTGGCTGCCCCCTGTGCATGAATGGCCAGGTCGGAGGCATCATCGTGTCTCGCCCAGCGCTGTGGCGTTTTCAATCCCACATATTGGGAGCACAAGCAACTTGGCCTGGCGCCGCCAAATTCCGCCCCTGTCCTCTCTCTTGCTCAAGACAGCTGCGAGACTTGATTGTCAAGATTCGAACACTTCAACATTCAAGAAGCTTCTTCACATACAATGCCAACCCCCTCGCTCCAAGGATGCAAGGTCGGCGCTTCACAAGAGTCTTCTTCCCCCACCCTACTGGGAAAGGCCCAGCTCCTTGTAAAAGGCGGCCGAGCTCGGCTCCCTGCCTAGGAATTCCTTCAAAAACTCCATCTCGTCCATGCTGCCACCGCGCTCGAGCACCGTCCGGCGGTACCTCCGGCCCTCCTTGCCGTCCATGGGATCCTTCTCGAAAAAGGAGTGGAACATGTCGGCAGAGAAGACCTCTGACCAGAGGTAGCCGTAGTAGCCAGCATCGTAGCCGCCAATGTAGTGACCAATGGTGGCATAGCGATTGCCCCATTCACTGCACAGACACGACCGCAGAAACGGGAGCGAAATAGTCAGCCATCTGCCATACGGCGCAGAGTAGTGGACAAGGGGACGGGGTGGGACCGCGGGGAAGAGAAAGCACGTACAGTCCTTGGCCCTGGTCTTCCGGGCCCTTGATGCCCGAAATGTCATGTCGCAGCTGGTTCCACAGCCGGCCCACGTGCATCTTCTTGATGTCGTCGTGGTTCTTGGGGGTGTGGACCGTCATGTCAAACAGGCCGTACAGGAGCTGCGTCAGGGTGGCCGTCGCCGAGTTGAAGCGCTTGGTCCGGACAAGCTTGTCCACCATGGCGTCGGGGATGGGCTCGCCAGTATCCCATCGCCGCGAGAGCGACTGGAGCACGCTCGGCGTCCAGCACCAGTTCTCGAGCATCTGCGAGGGCGCCTCGACAAAGTCTTCGACGACGGCAGTGCCGTGGAAGTAGCTGTAGCGGGTCCGCGCGGCCAGGTCGTGGATCCCGTGGCCCAGCTCGTGGAACAGGGTCAGGACCTCCTGGTGCTTGAGGAGCGCGGGCTTGGATGCCGACGGCTTGCTAAAGTTGCACACGAGGGCAGTGGCCGGGTAGTTTCTGCTGCCGTCCTCTCGGATGTAGCCGGGCTCCAGGTTAAAGTTGGCGTTGTGGCTATACTTGTTGTCACGGGGATGGAGGTCCAGGTAGAGGTAGCCGCAGAAGCCGCTGCCGGCTGCCTTGTCGTCCCAGACGGTGTAGATGATGACGTCCTCGTGCCATGCAATGTCCTCGGCCTTGCCCGTCGGGCTCAGCCTGGCGCGGTCCTCGGGCTTGAGCTCGACAAAGACGAAGCCAAAGATTTGCTCGAAAATCTTGAGCATGCCGGCAAAGGTGGGCCCGACGGGGAAGTACTGGGAGATTTCAATCTCGTCGACGCTGTATTCCTGTTGCTTGACCATGTTGGAGTAGAAGGAGACGTCCCACATGTAGAGGTTGCCGTCAAAGGGCGCGCCGCGTTGCTCGCAGTCACGCTTCTTGTACTCGCGGAGGCGCTCGGCCTCCTTGACTCCTCCGGGGGCAAGCCGGTTGCGCAGGTCACCGAGGAATTCGTTGACGTTGGAGGGCGTCTTGGCCATCTTTTGCTCGATGCGCATGGTTGCGTGGTCGGCATATCCCAGCATCCGGGCTGCCTCGTCTCGCAGCTCAATGATTTGCTGGAAAAGAGGCACGTTGACGTTGGACTGGGGTGGAAAACGTCACGTCAACCCGGGCGTTGCGTTCTGGTTGGAATGGGGCTCACCTTGTTTGCTTCGGCAATGGTGTACTTGCGCCTAGTCTCCTCGTGGAGGGCATATTTCATCAGTGGGAACAAGTGGGTGTACTTGAAGGACAGTTTGACCTTTCCCTCGTTCTCGCCCGTGCCCTTTTCCAGCTGGTCGACGTCGATGTCATCCTTGGGGACGCCTTCGAGCTCTTTGGGGAAGAACCAGATGGCGCCGTTTTCCTCGTTGAGGTTTTTCTGGCACTGGATGGAAAGCTGGCTGAGACGCTTCTGGATCTCCTTGAAGCGGTCGCGCTGGGGCCCGGCAGGCAGGAGAAGACCGTTGCGGATATACTTCTGGCGCTCCTTGGTGAGGAGGTGAAGGGGCTCCGTCTCGAGGTCGAGCGACGCGCGGGTGGCGTAGACGGCATCGACAAGCTTGAAGATGTCCTCGCGCATCTTGGTCTCGATGCGGAACTCGTCCATGATGCCCTCGGCCTTGTTGGAAGCTTCACGCAGCGAGGCGTTGGGGGAGACGTGCTGGTAAAAGGTCAGGATCCTCTGGGGGGCCGAGGACTTGTTGTCGTCGACCAAGATGGGGTCGAGGACGTTGGCAAAGGTGCCCTTGTCCGGCTGGACGTCGGCAACCACCTTGTCGTAGACGCGCTTTGTCGTCTCCGACATCCTGTTGGTATCGGCCAGGATGGAGTCGGCCGTGGCCGTGAAGACGGGCGGCGGCTGGGGCGGCGTCTGGTACTGCGGGCCGGCCATGGTGCTGGTCGTCAAGTGGCGAAGGGGTACGGGGTTGGGCTTTGCGGCGCGGAAGGGGGAGCTCAGGTGGCCGACAAGAGCGCTGAGGCGGGTGAAGGCTCGGGGGGAAGCCAGCGTTGCGGCGAGGACGAGGACCAGGAGAGACAGGACGAGGACCAGGAGCGGGGTGAGGGGGGAGAGGAGGCGGGGAGGGAGGAGGCGGGGAGGGGGGAGGCCGGGGGAGACGCGACGCCGTGCCAGCGTGAATGCGACTTGGTTCCTCCTACCTGTGGGATAGGAAGGAGGCTACAGAAGACGCGTTACACCACAGATACAATACGTGGTGTATAATGCATGTGCGTCAGGGCGGGTAGCAAAGGCTGAAGGATAATTAATATATGGGCATCGAAAGAGTTCAAGCTGTAATTACCCCAGACAAGAAGTAGCTTGGCTCCCAGACTGGGCAGGTGGTGAGAAGGCGTGCCGAGCAGCAAAGGAGTGGGGCAGACAGCAGACGATCCGGACTTTACTCGGGTAACGTCTCGAGAGCTCACGGTCAGCAGCCTACCCTGTAGCAAGCCAATAAACCAGGGGCAAAGTAAATCCCATAAAAATGCAGAACCAGCTATTCAATGCACGCAAGCCAACGCACAAGAAAAGGCGCATTCCCCTTGGGCCTCTTGTCCCGAGTCGTTGTCGTCTTCAACCCAAGCCGTAACCCGTATACATACACGCGTGTGCGTCGAAAGTCATCCATCAAAGGCAAAAGCAAAGCAACGCCGTCCCGTCCGCAGAATGCAAATGTAGCCCCAAGTTCGACGGCAGAAAGATCAAGCAAACCGGTTTGCTCTCAGTTGGCGAGGATGGTCCGGACGAGATCTGGTGGGCCCGAGCCGGTCAGCAAACGCGCAGCAAGGGGGCGTGGCGTGGCACGGCGGCGACACGTACCCGTGTAGTTGACCTGGCCGGAGCTCGTGTCGACGGCTTTGAGCAGCTCGTCGACCTCGTCGTCGGACATCTTCTCGCCCAGATTGGTCAGGATGTACTTGAGCTGGCCGACGCCGATGAAGCCCGTCATGTCCTTGTCAAAGACCTGGAAGCCGCGGCAGTACTCCTCGGGCTCGCCGGGCTCTCGGAAGCCGCCGGGGCGGTTGAGGACGCGCTGGAAAGTCTCAAAGTCGACTGCCAAGCTGGAGCGTTAGCCGTCTGCTCATGTCGCCGCCCGGGTCCAGGTAGCGACTCACAGTCGGCGCCGGCCGTCTTTTCGAGCTCCTGGATCTCGGACAGCGTCGGATTCTGGCCGCAGGCCCGTAGCAGGTCGCCCAGGCTGTCGGCGGTGACACGGCCGTTGCCGCGCTTGTCGAACAGGGCAAAAGCCTCCTTGTAGTTGGTCGAGGCCTGGGAGTCGTAGGGGTTAGAAGACATGGCTCACGCTTTTGTTCGCCGCTGTCCAAGCGTGCTTCGTTTGTGCGGGATGCCGAGTGCAGGGCCGAGTGCAGGGCAGAGTGCAGGGCAGAGTGCAGGGCAGAGGTGCTTGTGTCTGTGGCGATGCAGAGAAGAGAAGGGGAATGACAAAAGCCGCGAGTGAGGCTGGCGGGCGAATCAAGTGGTCGCGGGGCTCTTTGTTTACTGGTGCCGGGGCAACTCACCATTGTGTCGCGCCGGGTAGGGGAAAGCCAAAAAAAGCACTGGCCTCGTCGTGTTGTTTGTCGGCACACACGATCGCTTCTTCTTGTCGCGGTAGGCTCGCACAACAATATCTTGGTTTCACGTCGGTCGTGGAGGGGATTTTGTATGGCGGAGGGAAAAGGGTGGAGTGTGTTGTCGGCAAGTCAACAGGTCGCAAAGAAGAAGTGTCCTGAGACGCTCTGCCCCCTGGGCCGCGGGCCCCCCCTGTCTCCCCTGTACGGGCGGGTTACGGGGCAACGGGCTGTGGCCTTGGGCGGGTCCACAAGTCAGCCGTAATAATGAAGGGAGTCGAGGGGAAAGAAAACAAGACGTCATTGACTTTGCATTTCGGTGCATCGCCCCATGTGTGATGGTTTTGTCACGGACTGGACCATCAGCCATCCACGCTTGATGTTTGTCTACCCGTACTTGCACCGCGTCTACCGCGACAAGCCGGCTCCTCATATCCTTCGCTTGGCCAGGAGGATATACGTGCCCCAGACCGTCTCGACCTCGGCGTCGCGCCACCTCTCGCCCATGGCTTTCCACTCGGGCTCCGACGCAACGACGCGGTCCATCATCATGTCGGCCAGGTCGCCCTCTCCGCCCTCCGCCCTGCTCCTCGCCTGCGCGTGGGCATCGCGCCAGCCCTGACAGGCGCTAAAGGTGCGCAGGTACGCCTCGAGCTCGCCCAGGCTGATGCGCTTCCTCATCCACGCCCCCTCCGCGTCGTCGGGCACCTCGGCCACGTCGCCCTGCACGTCGTAGAGAATGCGCTTCACGTCCTGCCACTCGGCCGCCGGCGGCTCCACGTCTCGCAGCAGGTTGCGGACCCTTTCGCGCCCCGGCTGCTCCCAGTACCGCTTCATGCCCTCGTCGTCGGCGTAGCAGAACTGGTCCAGCACCTGGTTGGCCCGCGGGTGCCCGACGAGGACGTTGTCCTTGTACCCCCAGAAGGCGAGCGAGCCGCCGGGCCTGACGACGCGGGCCAGCTCGGGCCAGGCTCGAGCATAGTCGAACCAGTGGGCTGATTGACCCGCCACGGCCATGTCGACAGAGCCGTCGGGCACAAAGGAGAGGTCCTCGGCGCCTCCCTGGCGAAAGGTGGTGTTGGCGTCGTCGGTCATGGACGACGCCTGCTTGATCATGCCGGCGCTCATGTCGACGCCCATGACGCGGTCGAAGCGGGGGCTCATCTCCCTTGCCACGAGGCCGTGGCCGCATCCCAGGTCGAGCAGGAAGCCTTTGGGTCCGTCATTGTGGTGGGCCAGGACTGTCTTGAAGAGAGAGGCAGGGTACGAGGGCCTCGCCGCGGCGTATCCCGCGGCCGAAAAGGTTGCTCTCCTGCATGCAGGCGGTTAATAATGATGCTTGTTTCGTCGAGACTTTGTGCATGTAGGTTATGTGGAGCGTGGACTCACCCAAATACAGACATTGTTTACTCTATCACGACGACGACTGAATTTCTCGTTCATTTCTTACAGTCTCATGCCCTCTCGTTCCTCCGTTCCAGTAGACAATTGATCTTTAAATACAAGCCCAGGACACCTTGAGCCGTCGCTGGCCCTCGGCCGATATCGGATTTCCGTAGGCCGTGACTAAATAGTAGGCTGGCCTGGCTAACGGGTAGACGGAAAATTGGGGGAGTGTGGCTGGTCAAGGCGCAGCGCCGATGCGGCACAAGGCGAGAACCGTCGGCATACGAGATCGTGGAAGCATCGAACGCAACGAGGCCACAAAGGCGGCAGCGCCGCCGGCCCTATCAACCACCAAGAAGACTGCGGCTACTATTTAGTCACGGCCTAAAAATTCGGTCAATTTTGAAGCTCTCGCGATGGCTGTTGCCGGCTTTATTGACGTTATTTGGATGCGTTGACTGCCGGCCGCCTTCGTCGTCCTTCTGGCGAGGCTGACAATGCTGCCAGATGTGACAGACGACTTTGAAGCCGCTGCTTGCTTTGCGGTTGGACAGGAATACCGACTTCAATACAAAGAGCCCTCGAGCCCCGGGGTTAGAACGGGCATTTCCCTTGTTAAAGAAGGCATCCACCACGGCTGGGTAAGAGAGCGAAGTCTTCACGATGTAGAGACGACGATACGACAAGAAAGAAGCTGTTGGTGCCGTGTTGAGAGCCGTAGCAAGCGTTGGAGGCAGTATGATGCCCGGCTGTGTGTGTATCAGGGCGGAACCAAGCTTGTTGTGTATGCAATACAAATGGCGTATTTTCTGGCGACCACAACATAGGCATCACGCACCGGCTCCGCCCTGTTTTGCGCGCTGCTTCTTACTCGTTCGCATTCCACGCGCACCCACTGCAAATTCAATCTCGTCTCGTGCGCCTTCGTATCATGGCCGCCTCCGGAGCACCCGCTTAGGGCACCGCTCCGATGCCTGGAGCGGCAACGCTGAAGACGTTGCCGTTGGCAAATGCTACAGTTGCGGTGAGATCGGGTACGTTAGCTGCTACACACTTGAAGACGACTTCGCCGCTGACTCCCTCGCAGGCATCGTGCTGCCGATTGTCCGACTCCCCAGGACTTCAGTGCATTGAGAAGCATCAGGGGCCTCCGTGCCCCAAACGAACCTGCCATCGACGCATCAGTTGCCACGAGAGCGAGAGAGGCCAGAAGGCTCCATCGCTTCCGCTGCTAGCACGGAAAAGGCTTGCGGGGCTCGATCCATAACGCCGACCCGGTATGGAAAGGCCGTGACTAAATAGTAGGCTGGCCTGGCTAATTAATGGGTAGACGGAAATTTGGGGTAGTGTGGCTGGTCAAGGCGCAGCGCCGATACCGTATAATTAGGTGCGCGTATTCCCCACGCCTATATAGCACTCTTTAACGCATACATCACATACATCGCAAAGATATAAGCCTCCTGCCACTTAATGTCCGGGCTATCGAGGACCTGGAAGTCCTGCTCAGGTCTCTAAGCAGACGAGGGCACCAAGGGATATACGGAGCCGCTTGGTCCGTGGAGAGAAATCGAGTAGACGGGCCTTGATCCCCCGTTAGTCCCATGAGTCTAGATTTAAGCCATTCCCAGAGTCACTGCATTTTTGATGTCACGCATAGTGTTGTGGACTTGGCGAGAAGCCACAGGACATTTCTTGGAGACTTTTGGCAATGAAATTGCTCTTTAAGGAGCCATCTATGCCGCGCCTCCGGGTTGGGTGATGAAGAATGAAGGCATCACCAAACCAAATGGATTACATAATCTAGCACGAAACTCTCCAATCATGGAGCTTCAGCGAAACTTCGACTCTCTCAAACAACTTCGCTTCAGCGCCCATGGCGGTCAATCGCAGCATGTCGCACCTCGTCAACCCGCTGGCGACGACATTGCAGCTCTACCTTCGCGCGTCGCTCTCGTCACTGCCTCCAGACCTGCAAGAATCCGTCTTCATCGCCACGCAATGCCTCACCCAGGCCGCCGGCCAGCTCCTGCGCCTCCCGCAGTCCGTCACGGCCCAGGCAAGCGTCATTCTCGCTCGCTACTGGCTGGTGGACTCTCCTATGGCCCATGAGTTTAGTGTACGTTTGCAAAGCTAGGTCCCCCGGGTATGTCAGGGAGACTAACGCGAGATGCAGGATGCGTCGGCCGCAGCGCTTTTCCTCGTGGCCAAGCTGGGCCCGATGCCTCGATCGGTTCGCGATGTCTCGTGCGTCTATGCCTACCTTTCATCTCGAGACTCGCCACTCTTGCGCGCTGGAGAAGCGCCGCCGGACGATCCCGAGTCGTACTACCAGACCGCGGCTGATTTCTTTTCCTTTTCCAATCGACTGCTGGCCCTCGAGGCGCGCATCCTCCATACCTTGTCCTTTGACGCTCACGTCTCGCTGCCACACCCACTCGCCATTACCTACCTTCAGACACTCGACTTTTTCTCCCAATCCAAATCCGAGGTGTCGCTACGCACCATCCAATACCTCAACACGGCTCTCCTGTCGCCCCAGATGTTGTACCTGACGCATCAGCCACACGCACTGGCCACGGCGGCCATCTACAACGCGGCGCGCGACCTCGGGGCCAAGCTACCAGAATGCGAGTGGTGGGAAGTCTTTGACGTGGACAGGGAAGAGCTCGGCTTCCTGGTCGTTGCCATGAGAAGTCTGGAGGGATGGTGGCGCAAGCGGAAAGAAGAACTCGGTCCGCTCGGCGAGCGCATGCTGACGCGCCAGACGGTGGAGCAGGAGATGCGCAGGAGAGGCCTGCAGGTGGAGAACGGGGTCGAGGGCGATGGTGAGGAAGCGGAAATCATGAAAATGATGGACAACCGGTGATGTGGCACGCCCATTTGCACGCGGGGACATCGCTCACAGTCTTATTCCTACCCGCCACCACACGGCAGGCATTCTAAACGCCCTGAAGGCGGCTTTCTGCCAGCTCGACGCTATCCAGGATGGCCATCCGACGGTTGGGAGCCAATGGCCTGCATCAACAATCTGCGACATTGACTTGGCGCTGGAGAGGTATGTCTGCTGCCTAGAGGGGATTGACCAAACCACTGATGATCTCTTGCATTGCAGCGGTGAAGGCCGGGGCTCCGCTAGGCCTTACTATACTTCTTGTGCCGGGCTGCCTTGTCTGGCTCTTTGAAGAAATTTGTCGCGTTCGCCATTGTCAAGCTATAGTTCCAAAGCAACACACCTCCTGGAGAATAATGGAACGTTAGACAAGCTCTTATGCTGAGGTTAAATGACTCTCACTCCAAGTAAATTCGGGGCTCCCGGGACAAATCAGTCTTCTTTAACAGGGGCGTCAAGTGTCCCTTGCCGCCAAGTGCAACTCTGCGTTTGCCAGTCCGTCCGCTGCGCGCCGCTCCTGGTGCAACAGCTTCACAGAGGGATGAAGACAGGAAGGCAACGCTGATGCCTGGCTTGGAAAGCAACGCTTACGTTGGTTATGAGCAGCCCGAGTTGCCTTACTCTGTTTTTAAAAGCTAAAAATACATCTATAAAGCGAGTTATACTATGTAAATGGTTTTTCTTAGGCCCTTCTTTAATTAGCTAGAAATTGCTCTTCATAAGTCTTATATATAACTTCTATTACAGGACAGAGGCCAGACCTTGCCCATCCATGTATCGTGACAAACAGCCTTGGGGCAGTCTGAAGGAAAACGCTCCAAACAGGTCGAACCAATCAAAGAAGCCTGCCAACGGCCATTGGGGCGGGTGGTGCATGCACGCACGTACCTGATGGGTGAGAACATGAATACTCTGCCATCTGTGGGTATCATACCTAGGTAGTAGCCGCTAATCCAACGACGTGCCATTCATCCACCCTAAAATCCAACAGCTTGAATAACGAGAAGCGTGGCAACATGATATACCGCCCCCGAACTTCCCGCTCCACCTGCCTTGTTCCAATTTTAGGGGTTTTCAAGTTGAGCTTCGCATCATTCTTCTACTACTACCATCCTAATGCCTTTTGACAATACCCTTGTCCTGAATAGAGCATGGATACGAGGAAAGGGGGCGGGGGTGTTGGGCTGCCTTTTGCCAACGTACGATTCAGGGCTCGTCGACTGCAGGTGCCTTCATACTCTCAAAGTAGGTAGGTACCTACATAGGTAAATCCCCGAATAGCTGAGGCAGGAACAGGCTAAGCTAGGCGAGAGGGACAAGGAGAGGGACGTTTCTGGGCAGAAAGGACTGTTCCAGGCAGGAAGAGACGGTGCACCATCTTCAGTCAGCATCCTTTGAAGGTGGCACACCCCTTCCCATACATGTACCCGAGCTTGGGTGGCACATCAAACGCACCAAGAAAGAGGCTCACGAAAGCTTCGCAGTCGACAAAAACATCTTTCTAGATGTCATGTGGCGTTGCTAGGTTTTTGCAACGCCACCCACGCACCCTTGATGTTGAAGGGAAAGTGCTGATTTTCCCCTTCCGCGCCCCTTTTCTTCATCACATCCCCTCTTCCCCCAAAGAACAGAATCTCTCTGCCGACACCAAAGCAAGTCTGCCTCTCTATATCGACGCAAATGCTCTCGGCCACGTACCACGCCCAGTGTTGGGCCATCTCCGCCGCCGCAGTAGTCTCATATCACGGGTTTGTTTCCGGGCTCGGCCTGCGACGCGAAATCCTGGACAACGTCCTGGTCCTGGCAGGATCTGACGCCGCCCTCCAGATTTGGGATGGTCCTTATCGACAGCCGCCGCGCCTCGTCCGGCTCGTCAGCACGGGGTGCCTCCTCGTCTCGCTGGGCGCAGCCACGCGACACTTTCAAGTGCCGCACGTCGACTTGGAGCGCATCGAATGGGCGGTCCATGTGCTCTTGGCCTTTACGGTGCTCGGACTCGTCGAGCCCGTCAGACAAAACGTAAGTCTGAGCCCTGCATGTCTTGTTAATCTGTGCTAACACCCAGTAGAGACGTGAGTTGCAGCCATATTTTATAGTGTCGAGCCCTCGCACGCCACACATACGGCCATTTCGCTTGGCCAACGATCTGCGAATGATGTACATGGACGCCTTTATTCGTCTTGTCCTGTTTAGCATCACGGCCCTCGTCGGATGGGGCCTTGGTGTCTCGTGCATGTCCATCTGGCAAATCATCCTGGGCAATGTACAGGGCAACTAGGGCTGCGCAGCCATGCTGCTGTTCCTGGCAACACCGTTGGCAGACATCGCAGAAACGGTACGACATGCTCACACACACACACCCTCTCTCTTACCCTCCCAGTCAACTTTGGCACTAATGACGACCGACATCAGATCTTTTACCTCGTCCATCGGCGTTCATTCCCCCACTGGATACCTGAGCCCGGATTTCTTGTCCATCCGGCGCAAAGATGGCGGGTAGGGATGCACGAAATGTTCTGGGCATGCCTTCAGTGGTCTCTGAAGCTTCTATGGTTATATGACCTCCAAAGGCAGACTCCGCCAGCAGCAGAGGTACACCATGGTGACAGGTCATGGCCATCTTATGCTCTTATATGGTTGTGCGGGTTGGAAACGTTCGCTCCGCGGGTACATAGCTCGGAGTCGCTACCTTGAATCCAGATCATCTTGCGAAAGGGGCGAAGAGATTGCAGGAGTGCGGATTGACTGGAGAAGAGCCGATCGGCATACAGTCTTTATGAATTTGTTACTGTGGTGTTTCTCATTTGCATCCCTTTGGCAGTGGAGGAGGAGCAAGCAGGCTGTTCGCAGGGATACTGTCAAAGCAGATAAAGGACTTATAATACGCGTTAGTAACACCTCCAATGGGGTGGCCCCCTATTTTGCATGGTGTAGCGGTATTTCACCAGCTTGACAGATACCATCTAATGAGTCAATGACAATGTCGCACCATTCTCAATACTTTCATCTTCTTGTACTCTCTACCGTACAGCAAGTATCCAGTAGCCTTGCCGATACATGTCGCTAGGTAGGTAGGTATGTACGCGATCCATTACTACGGAGAAAGAGACAGAAGAGGCTAGAGAAGAGCATGAATGAGCTACCTAACTACCCGTGCCACGCCCCACTTTATTTGGAATTCGCAAGCTCCCACCTCCTAAAGTTGGTGCTCACCACCAGTATCCCCACACCACCGGAATACCCAGAATTTCGACTCCCCGACCTAGAATCGCTTCAACCACCGCGTACCACGCTCAGAATCGCGTACTTCCACTCGTTCTAACCTTCCTGAACCCTCCATTGGCGTGCCTTTTTGCTGCTTCCTCAAACCATCGCTTGCGTGCGTTATGCGCCTTTTCTCCGCGTCTTCTACTACCTTCCTTGCTTTAGCAATCTGATCATCTCCCTTTGTTGCACCATTTCCCGTCCTTGGGCCACTGACAATACTCCTCCTGATTGTAACTGTATATTCTTCATAGCCTTACGTTGTTTTGGATCCGCTCCGCCATTTTGGTTCGTCCCAAGTCCCTTTAGTCTGCACGAGCTCAGTCGCCAGAGATAGCGATCCTCGAATAAATCGACTGAGATCGTGAGAAAAGTCGGGATCCAGGCTTTATCGTCTTCAAGGACGAGATCTAATTTGTCCGCTACCTTGTTTATTTGTCGTAGAGTCAATGGTGTCTCGAAAGGTGAGGAGTGTGGTCCTGAATTGGGAGGAGGTGTGGGTGTCGTGGCTTGACGAGCTTCCAAACATTGAAGTACTACTTGTGGATTGAATGGGAAGATTCCTGTCTTGCGAAATGCGGAGCGTATAGTACTCTCCTTGAAAGCATGCAATCGTACTTGTTGAATGCAGGAGAGAAACTCAAGCTTGGTTATGTTGACGAGGCCATCTCGAACCATGACATCTAAAGCCTTGGCGTGATAGTGCTTTAGGGGCTGGAAAACGACAACGTCCAAAGGCTGAAGTGCATGCGTGAGATTAGGCGGCATGCCGAAGGGAATAATATTGTGGTTGTCGCAGTATTCAATGAACTGCCTGGTATGGTGAGAGCCATGACCATCAAGAATTAGAAGTCGCTTCGAGCTTCTTGAGCTTTTTTCCGAGTGCTTGTCAAAATGCTGGAGCCACTCCAGACTAATCACGTCGTTTGAGTAACCAGTAGGCGTGGGTCGAATAACTGTGTCAGGATCTAGCTCAGGTATTTGATACCATGAAGCCATGTGCATCTGGCCAGCGAGTATCAAAAAAGCCGGAACAACCTCCCCATTCGCCGAGATAGCTTCGATCGCAGTAGCGGATTCCCTATTCTCAGGAATGCCAAAATAATGAGCTCTCCTCCGTTTTGTCACAATCAGCTGGTCTTTTCCAACCCCGATGCGAAAACCAGTCTCGTCCATATTCCAGATATCCTCAGGAGGTATACCATTGTCTTGGATAACCTGCCGAAGATGCTGGAAATACTGGTTAACTCGTGTAAGATTCTCGGAGACTTGGCGCTCTGCTTGAAGCCTTTTTTGGCGCTTTTTGAAGTAGCCGTGACGCTTTAAGAAGCGAGAAGTCCAGTTTGGCCCCACGGTAGGAGCGTCGCGCTGGCTAGACCGCTCGCGCAAGATACAGTTTGCCGCGTCAGTAACGAACTCGACGCGTACCGCAAGGTTTATATTATCCAAACGATCGATATAGCGACATAGGGCCTTCTCTTCTGGTTCGGAAAGCCTCGTATTTCTAGCTCGCTGGCCAGTTTTAGGAGGTCGGCCTTGAAGACGGTATCGCAATCGATCACGTGTTACACCGAATTCTCGCGCTACGGTTGCGACTTTAGCACCGGGAAAATTTTCAATATATCGAAGAGCGTTTTGTACACGTGCTTCCATTTCGGCTATCGACGAGATCGTGAATTGGTTAAGATATAGGGATGCTGAAGTCGGGGAGTCGAAATTCTGGGTATTCCGGTGGTGTGGGGATACTGGTGGTGAGCACCAACTTTAGGAGGTGGGAGCTTGCGAATTCCAAATAAAGTGGGGCGTGGCACGGGTAGGAGGAGAGAATCTCTCACGACTTATTAATTAGTGGGCTCCTAAATAGGTGGGTGCGGCTGACTAAGAGGGACGGGATCCCCCGCATCAACTAATTACCTAACCTAGCATCCCCCGTTAACGCTAATCTGCTTAGCCATGCATCGCTACGTACCTGATACCTGCTCTGGGCCCTGTGACGTCCTTGCCCCTCCTCCACTGCCAAAGGGATGGTAATTAATTAAAGTCTACCCCCAGATCATACATACTATAAGTTACAACGCATGAGCCCTCAAGAGGCTATTAGTAGACAGAGTCAAGTCTGTCGGACCGATAGTTGATAACGTCGTCGAAGTCGGAGTGCATAATTAATTTCAGCCTCTAATCCTCATGTATTGCCCCATTAGGCAGGCCGCAGAATAACCGCTCTGACAACAGCCAAACAGCTTTGCGCTGGTACGTGCTGAGGCACGAATACGTAGTACCAACGAAATGTATGACGCTGCGTCACTTTTGCTTGCTCGTCGCTGCGGCTCTCCGACTTTTCTCCTCAACAACCATCAAGCCGCCTTCACGATGCTTCTTCCGGCCCTCAAGTCTCTTCGAGACTGCAGCGATTACGCATTGACAGTCGAGCCCTTCCTACCCCAGCTCTATGCGTTGCCGGCGCGCTTGGCCGCCGTCCGGAGCCTCGATGGCTTGATGCAGCTCTACGTCGACACCAACCCGCTCATGTCTGCCATTGCAGCGTCCATCTTCCTCGGCGGCGTTTTTCTCGTCGTCTCCGAAGCGAACCGCAACTATTCCCAGGTCGACCGCATGTGGAGCTTTCTGCCCAACCTTTACATTGCCCATCTAGCGGTCTGGGCGCGTCTCGCCGGACTGCCTCATAGTCGCATCGACCTTGTTGCCGCTTGCACCACCCTCTGGAGTGTACGAAGGGCCCCGTTGTGCTCTTGAATACAGAATGATACTGACCTTACGGTGATAGTGTCGCTTGACCTTCAACTACTGGCGCAAGGGTGGCTACCAGAAAGGCTCCGAGGACTACAGATGGTGAGACTGCGCCCCCTGCGTTGCCTGTCGCAGCCTGCCAAGCTAACACCAATCGGCAGGGAAATCGTCAAGAGCAAAGTCCCGGGATTCATCTTCTTCCTCCTCAACGTGACATTCATCTCATTCATCCAAAGCGTGCTGCTCTTTGGCATCTCTTGCCTCCCCGCTTACGTCATCCTGCTCTCGACGCGGTTTGAGCCCAATATCACGGCGGCCGACGTTGCGTACGGCTCCATCGAGCTGTTGCTTGTCTTGAGCGAGTGGTTCAGCGACGGACAGCAGTGGAGTATGTTCTCGCCCATCTGTGGTTGCTACTGTACTGCTCAGTGCTGACGCCTCTCGCAGCATATCAGACCGCAAAGCACCAGTACCAAAAGGACGCAAAGCTGCCCAGGGGCTGGAACCAGGCAGACCTCGATCGGGGTTTCGTCACCTCGGGCCTGTGGGCCTACAGCAGGCACCCCAACTTTTTCGCAGAACAGGCCATTTGGTTTGTCTTGTATCATTGGAGCTGCTATGCCAGTAATTCTCTTTACAACTGGACCTTTATCGGCTCCGGTAGCTTGATCCTTCTCTTCCAGGGCTCTACGTGCCTGACGGAACTGATTACGGCCGGCAAGTATCCCGAGTACAAAGATTATCAGAAGCAGGTTGGCATGTTCATGCCAACGTCCTTTGGGGGCTACAAGACAACACCACGCAAGCAAAAGGTCATCAAAGCGAGCGACCTGGCCAAGCAGAAGCAAAAGTAGATCAGCTGCTTGCAGCGCGTTCGGGGCGAAACTCCACAAAGTGCGAGTTCGTCTGTATGTTCGCTCGCAGTCAAAGGATGCTAGAAGAGCGGGCGTGCGTGCAGCTCATGATCCTGTCTATCCAAATCTAGCGTCTATCATCGTCTAGTTGAATTACTTCTTCAACACAGCCTGTCTCAGGTCACTTAGCTTATCGGCGTAGAAAGAAGGCACGGCGACGGCGTCCGCCTTTTCCCAGTCCTGCTTCTTGTCCACTCCGGTTTGCACATGAAGGGTCCCGCCCAGCTTGCCTTGAATGCCGAACTTGATGTCTGTATTGAGCCTGTCGCCAACCATGCACGTCCTGGAGCGCTCAAGCTGAAACTTGCCCTCGATGGCATCCATCATTGCCTGGCTCGGTTTCCCGAGCTCGAGCGGCTTTTGGCCAGACGCATTCGCGAGGGGCACCATGACAGAGCCCGCACCGAGGAAGATGTCGTGGTGCATCGGGAGGGTCGAGTCGATGTTGGTTGCCAGAAACTTGGCCCCGCGTCGGAGGTAGTGCAGGCCATGTGCAAGCTTCAGGTAGTTGATGTGGAAATCGAGCCCGCACAGGACGACACCGACTTCCGGGTCCAGGAGTGAGCCGTCTGCGATGCCCTCAAAGTCGGCGGGGGTAATGTCTCTGCGCAAGTCCTGGTCGGTGCCGCCGATGAATGGCACGCCTTCCGAGACGAGCTCGGTCTCGACGCCGGCCTCGCCAATGACAAACACCTTGTTCTTGCCGGGTGGCAGCTTGAGGATGCGGGAGATATAGACGGCGGACGAGTAGGCGGAGCCGAAGACGTCCTCGACATCACTCGGGATGCCGAGGCCGTTGAGTTTCTTGACGTACTCTTGGCGGGACTTTGTCGAGTTGTTTGTCACGAAGACGATTCTCTTGCCTTGGACAGGTGAGCACGACTGTATGCGTCCGACTTTGGTGGTGAGCAATTTAACCTTTTGAGCGGAGGAGCTCCAGCGTCTCTGGGACACCTTCAAAGACATGATCGCCAGACCATAAGACACCTGCCCCGTGTCAGCCGCACTCGGCAAAGAGACGAGGTGGGTGGAGACTCGCCATCGCAGTCGAACAGGAAGGTCTGGAGAACAGAGTGTGAGCGTGCGTACTGACGCGTGGCTGGGCAGAGCACTCACGTCAAACCTGTCGATGAAGTCGTTGATGGCGGCGCTGTCGCCGGTGAGACACTTGGGGGGGGCCGCCATGTCTCCTTTGCTCGGGTTGTTCCTCCGAGATGTCCGTCCGGGGGTGAGCTTCACGAGTGAGGTCTCGTGTTCATGACTGATTAGTCATGATTCGTCGTCACTCCGTTTCATCCCCCCTCATGGCCAAGACGCATCGCGCCGATTCCGCGAGCAGAGATGGCCGTCATCGAATCTCCCACTACCACGCATGGCGTTGGGTAGCGTGGCCACCGAGTAAATAATTTCCTCGTCGACGTCCTGATTAGCCAGACCTCGACGACACTGGCGTTGGCTCGAACCAGTATAGCGGGTAATTAGTTTGTAGCGCGCTCCGGCTAAGCGAATGCGAATGCGAGCTCCAGTGTGGAAACTGCTTTTCATCTCGGCTCGCCCTTGGGATTGTTGTTGCTTCTTTCGAGCTTAATCGCACAAAGGGATCCCAGCAAACAGCACAGAGGCTTATTGCTATTTAAGATGGAGCGTTGCCGGCGCCCCGTCGAGTCAGATTCCGCATCACAGGCGCTTGTATGAGGTTTAACGTCTTCTCACTTGAGCTTTTTCTGGATTGCGCACTTCAATCTCCTCATATCCACAGTCCTCCATGGCTTCTCCCACTCCCAGCGGCACTGCGTCGGCCAGCTCAGCAGCCGACAAGTCTGTCGCATGCACAGAAAGCCGCGCCAGCGACACATCCAACAAGAACATTGTCCCGGACTCGCGCCAGTCCTCCAAGGGCGGATCGGAGTCGAAACCGTCTCCCGACAATCAGCACAAAAACGTGGAGGGTGCCCGGGAGTGGAATGAAGATGAAAAGAAATGGTTGTCCCTGATTGCCGACATCCTCGACGACCAAGCGGCAAGGTTGTCTCGCTCGCTGCAGGATTGAGACGACTGCTCGACCAAGCAGCGGGGTACTTGGATGTGCCCATCGCGGTATCTTTGGCACTGGCGGAGCGAGGATGAGCTATGTGAGCGTGGCCGGTCGTCGGTAACAAGAGGATGTGCTATTGTTCCAAATAGAGTGAGTTATGCCAACATGAAGAACAAACAAAATCTGTGCACATGTGCTGCGCGCACTCAACCAAGCCCATTCGCCATGGTCTGTACGCGTGCGCCTATGGTGAAGCCATAAGCGAGTGCCGAGAACAATGTCGCGAGATTGATGAGGGAAGAGATCCCGTGCAGCATCCCGAATCGCTTGTTCAGGGCACGCATCTCTTCCGAATGGGGTCCCTGCTCGTACCATTCCTTCCCATCTCGTTTGACTGCCACTCACTGTTAGCTGTCATGTGAAAATAATGCTGAAGCGGACAAGATGGCACCTTGACCTCGTCGCTCTTTCATGACCTTGAGAGTGGCTGGCAGCAACACGACGAGATTGGTCAGGCCGCCCAGAAACATGATGGCTATGGGGGCGAGCGAGCTCCATCGATTGGATCCGTCCAAGAGGCCGGAGATGCTCGACGGGACGCCAGCCAGCGTGCTGCCCGGAAACGTCAAGGCGAGGACTGCCGGGAGGACGGTTTGCATGCTAAAGTAAATCGGGAAGAGCCCCTTCTGGGCGGCTGAGAAGGCCGGCCTGTCAATCGTCTTGTACATGACAGGGCCATTGACGAATGACTTGCATTCAATGCGTTAGCATCTCTCGAGCCTGCATGGTGAAGTATCCCAAGGCGAGCACGTACGTGGAAGAACGAGGTCCCCAGCAAGGTCCCGTAACTAGGACGCCGGTCAGATAGGCCAGATGCACCTCGACAGCCAATGTACATACGAGATGATGTGGTACGGGGCCACTGAAAACATGATCGACTCAGCCATCTTGTCCCTCTGCGTGAGCGCGATTGATCAAAGCACCGGTAGATGAACTGAGGGAGAGTGGGCTCTGTGGAGCTGCGCTGCAGCGATGAGGTCACGAAGAGGAGTGGCTCAGTCACGTGACCTCGCGACCGAACCGCGTTAAGCCGTGGCCGAGTCTCCTCAGCTTGCGACGATTTCTGCCTACTCTGGCCAGCGTCGTGAACACCGTCTGCCTCCCTGACTCACGTCCTTTTTGACACGGGGATCTGGTCTGCCAGAATGAAATTCTACAGTATTCATTGAATTTCCTCGCTCCGACCCCCCTGTGGCTCGTTGACTGCTCAACATGGCGGACAAGGAAGCGACAGTCTTCATTCTGGACCTTGGCGCGTCCATGGCCAGGACGAATGGCGGCCGCACCGAGTCGGATCTGGACTGGAGTATGCGCTATATATGGGACAAAATCACCGATATCGTGGCCGCAAACCGCAAAACGTTGTGCGTCGGCATCGTCGGCCTGAGGACCGACGAGACAAACAACAAGCTGCAGGAAGACGACGGATACGACAATATCTCGGTCTTACAAGAGCTCGGCCAGATGACCATGTCGAACCTCAGGCCTCTCCGTACATCCGTCGTCCCGAGTAGCACTGGGTCAGGCGACGCGATATCAGCCATTGTCGTGGCCGTCGATATGATTGACACATTCACCAAGAAACTCAAGTGGATCCGCAAGGTCATCCTGGTCACCGATGGCCAGGGGAGTCTGGATGCCGATGACATGGGCGATATAGCCAGGAAGATGAATGACTCCAGGATACAGCTGACTATACTGTAAGTTCCAGTCGCCCCGCGGCTGCTCTGGTCTAGCTGACGGTCAAGGGGTGTGGACTTCGACGATCCAGAGTACGGCTTCAAAGAGGAGGACAAACCGCCAACCAAGGTATGCGGCCCGAATGAACTCACTCTAGGCTGCGATAATAAACATTCTTGATAGGCCGCAAATGAAGCGACGCTGAGGAATTTGGCCGATGCGTGCGAAGGCGGAATTTTCGCCACCATGGCCGAGGCAATCGATGAGCTCAACACGCCCCGAGTCAAGGCCGTCAAGCCTTTCAAGACCTACGAGGGCCCCCTCATTCTCGGAGATGCCGAAAAGCTCCCTGCCGCGGTCAACATCAACGTGGAGAGGTACTTTGAAACGCATCTTGCGCGACCCTTGGCCGCCAGCACGGTGGTTTTCAAATCCGAGCAGGCTACGGGCACCCAATCAACCCAGACGCTCGAAGACGAGGCCACGGACGGAGCCTTGTTTTCCGCTGTGAAGCAAGCTCGGGCATACAAGGTCAACGATCCCAATGCCCCCGGCGGCAAGCGAGATGTCGAGTTCGAGACGCTCGCCAAGGGTTACGAGTACGGAAGGACGGCGGTGCACATCAGCGAATCCGAGCACAACATCACCAAGCTCGAAACACAAAAGTCATTCGCCATCATCGGGTTCATCCCCTGCGACAAGGTAGGCGCCGAACTCCTCCTCGCTAGAACAGCGCTGACCACGTGCTCAGTATGAGCCATTTCTTAGCATGGGCGAAGCATGCATCACTCACGCGCGACGAAATGACGCAAAGTCGGAGCTGGCAATGTCTTCTCTTATCTGGGCGCTCATGGAACTGGAATCATTCGCCGTCGCTCGCCTCGTCGCCAAAGATGGCAAAGAGCCCTTGCTTGTGCTGTTGGCACCGCACATTGAGCCCGGCCTGGAGTGTCTGTACGACGTTCCTCTGCCGTTCGCAGAAGACCTCCGTAGCTATCGGTTTCCGCCGCTCGACAGGGTCGTAACGGTCAGCGGCCAAACGCTCACCAAGCACCGCTTGTTGCCTTCCGACGAGTTGAACGAGGCCATGAGCGACTACGTAGACGCCATGGACCTCTCCACGTACGGTATAGACGGAGAAATGTACGTGCAAATCGTGACTACCACCCTGATGACCTCGTCGCTCTAACTCGCGTTAGGGGCTCCGCCGAGTACGCGTCGATCGACCAAACGTACAACCCGTCGATCCACCGTATCAACCACGCGGTCAGGGTGCGCGCCGTGCACCCTGAGAAGCCGATTCCCGAAACCCCGAGTGCGCTGCTCCAGTTTTCCTCTCCGCCCAAGGATCTGGTCGAGCGGGTTCAGAGCAGGATAGATGCCTTGATCAGGGTGGCCGAAGTGAAGAAGGGTGAGAAAAGAACCCAACTGTTATTTCTATTGCTCCCATGCTGATTTGCTCAAAGTGCCACCGAAAGCCAAGGGCCGACGCCGTAGAGAGGCCGTCAAGCCCATCTCGGGGCTGGATGTCGACGCGCTGCTCGGTGAGGAGATGAAAGGCCAGGTGTCTCGAGAAAACCCTATCCCAGACTTCAAACGGGCGTTAGCCTCGACCGAGGAGATTGGCGAGATTGAAGATGCGGCAAAACAGATGGGCACCATTGTGCGGTCGCTCGTCACAGACAGCTTTGGCGACAGCAAGTACGCCCAGGCGGTGGAGTGCATCGGGGCCATGCGGGAGGAGCTGACGAACCTGGAAGAGCCCGGAGTGTACAACTCGTTCGTGCGCAACTTGAAGAAGGGACTGTTGTCCGGGGCGCTTGGCGGAGACCGGAGAGACTTTTGGTTCGTGATACGGTGGTCGAAGCTCGGGCTGATTGACAAAGACCAGTCAGAGGTATCTGATGTCTCGCCTGAGCAGGCAGAAGAGGTGAGTTCTTTGGCCATGCATCTCGATCGATTACTGACGCGGCAAACAGTTTTACAGGTCAAGATAGGCGAGTTGAGCTTCTCTTTGCTCCAGCACAGTGTTGTGCTTATGTAGATCCACGTACGGCTTGCGAATAAACGCAGAGGGAACGTAAGGGGCTCGTGTAGTCTAGGCAAGGTGTTGAAAAGCGTCTGTATCCGGCCCGGGGAGCGTTTGCGCTGGGGCTCGAAAACAAAGCAGTTCGGCAAAGCCCAAGGCCAAAGTGGCGGCCTGAGGTGCGGAAGCCTCATGGCAGGTAAAAAATACACACTCCGACCAGAAACTTCTCCCACCCTCGACTATTTCTTCCCTTTTGCCACCTCACCCTCACGGCACCACTTTGACCGGGTTTGCACCCCAGCCCTTTCTGCTGCCTCACTTTTGCCCTCGCCATATCATGTCTGACGGTGACTTAGCCGCGCAGCTGGCCCTGCTGCAGGAAGTCTTGGGCAAGAAAGTCAGTCTTGGCGACCCTTCAGACCTGCTCGAGGAAGCTCGTGAGACAGCGACCATGGAGAACAAAGACGAACCGAGCTGGGAGACGTGGCAGTCAAAGGACGAGTGGTCGACCGCGGCAAACAACGCTTGGAACCGAGACCCGCCGAACGAGAAGACGAAGAATCCTCCTCCGCCTTTCCAGGTAGCGCCTCCGGTCAGCTTCAATCTCGACTGCTCCACGCTTCGTGTCGGCGAGACAGTGGACGACCACGTCGCATTTTGCCCATGGAAGACCCTCATTGCGTACCCGACCATGTTTATCGGGAAAGCAAACAAGCCTCGCGTACGACGTGCAAAGCAAACCCTTGACGTGCCGATCCCGAGCTAACAGGGTGCAAGGTTAGGCCATTTTTCGACAGTATCCTTGAGGAAAACAGCTGGGACTTGTGAGAGGAGTCTAGAGAATCACTTGCGGGTGCGTTGCTGACCCTGCCAGCTTCTACCTGCACGACCCCCGGAACCCCAAGGAACCGGCACACCTGCTGGTGCCAACGGTCCAGTTCGAGGACTTTCTCCGACAGCTCAACAAAGAGCTCAACACGGCGCTCACGATCCCACCTGGGATTAATAGCACCAAGTTCCGTCTCAAATTTGGCAGCGGAGGCGTCCCCAAGCCTCGATACCTGACGCACTCGGACCACGAGGAGGACCTGGAACGTATCTCCCGACCGGCCATCTCTGGCGCCGACATTCAGGGGTTCAACGAGGCATCCCATGCGGAGCAAAACACCTTCGTCTTCGCGTTTGAGAGGATGGCTATGGAGACAAGCAACCCTGACAAAAAGCAGAAAGCACTGGAGAGAGCGAAGCAGAGGATCCTGGACAGGCAAGGGATGATGAAGCAGGCACAGACTCTTCTTGGGCTCAAAGAAGTCAGCGGCGGCCCTCGAGCAGTCTTTGTCGGCATGGATCTCGAGGCACTCGAGGTGGCACCTCATCCTGTTTCCGAAGTAGGCATCGCCATTCTGGACGCCAACGACATTGGCAATGTCCCGCCAGGCCCGAGTGGTTCCGACTGGTGGCAGTTCATCAAGGCCTATCACCTTCGGACCAAGGAGTACTCTGGGGTCACAAACCATCGATATATTGCGGGCTGTCCTGATGCCTTTGACTTCGGGTAAGATTAGGAATGCCGCTCCGAGTGTTCGCATGCATGTTGACGGAGAGCCTGTAGCGCGAGCACGTTTCCGTCGCAGAAAGAACTGGTTAATGCCATCATGTCGATTCTGGAGCCATACATTGGTGGGAAAAGAGAACTCATCTTTGTTGCCCACGACGCGAAGCAAGACGTTCGCTATCTTTCCCAGATCGGCCTTGAAGTCCACGATCTGGCAGGCATGGCGGGCGACATTGATACCAAGGAGTTGCACCGGGCATGGCGTGGCTGCGACGACGGCAGAGGGCTGTGCGCAGTGCTCTCCGACCTCGGCATCAGATCGGCAAACCTGCACAATGCGGGCAACGACGCGGTGTTCACCATGCGCGGGATGGTCGGCTTGGCCGTGGAGCAAGTGCGCAAGGACGAGGCCAAGGGAAGAGGAGAGGAATATGTGCCCGCCCTTTGGGCTGAAAACCCGAGGGGCGGTGCAGGCAGTTGAGCTGTCAAGTGTCGGAATCGAGGAGAGAGCGGGCGCCTCCGAGGGCCCTTGTATTTATGGAATGACCGGACCTGTTTCAGTCGTCTTGCTCTAGCTAGCCCCCCAATAAAGCCAACAAACGCCATCGCTATGTAAAGACATGTTGTACAGGAGACTCGCGCGACCGAACCGCCCAGTCGTGTTGATGAAACTTGTGTCTAAAGCGGTCGAGGAGGATCGAGGGGCGGTCTTGGAACGTGAGCGCATCGCAGTATGTATACAGGCAGAGGAGCCTTGGCTAGCGGCTGCGCGCGGGGGACCTAGGACTGCTTGTCCAAAAACTCCTTGGCCTCGTTGACTTTTGTGGCCAGATAGGGACTGCCTCCTCGGTCGGGGTGGTTGAGCAGCATGAGGGTGCGGTGAGCCTTGCGGACCTTTTCCTTTGTAATGGCGCGCTCACTGGAGCCGTGTCAGCGATGTCCCGGGGGCGGTTTCCTGTTGGTCATCGAGGTTGGAGGCTGTTGCTTACTTGAGAGACAGGATGAGGGAGGCCTCCTTCTTGTTCATCTTGGGCTCGAAGCCGCCCTTGTAGAAGGCCTTGCCCATGGCGCCGACGCCCCCGCGAGAGCGCCGCCATGCGACGAGGCCGGCGCGGCCCTGTAGATGCCTTTGGGTTAGTCATGGCTGGGAGGGACGTCGCTGGAGATGGCGGAGGGACGAACCAGAAAGGCAGCGGCAGCGGCGCCGGCGCCCCATGCAAAGACTGAGGCCATGGTTGATGGGGGTTGCGAAAAGGGTTGGCTTGCTGGTGATGGCCTCCTTCTGTCAACGGCGATTCGGAAATTTTGCGCGGGAGAGAGAGATTAAGCGGGGGATTATTGTTCCGACCCCGACGAACCGAGCCTTTGTGGAGTCTAGTCGAGCGGGACGAACCGGCCGCCCCCAAGCTCCAACAGAACTTCTACATACAAACGATCGACAGTCGCCCACTCTATCTAGAATCTGCGATGCTCGGCTGCTCTACGGATCATGGAATGGCTGATGAGAAGCGCTGATGAGACGCGCATTTGTTCCCTACGAGGCACCAGAAGTCTGACCCTCGCTCCCACGGGAATCCAACTTGGCCGACCAAGCGGTATGGACGACTGACGGCAGCTTCTTGGGTTCCGTCGGCCGCAAACCGTCTCTGCCACCTCCTCGTGATGGCAGTGCATGCAGGCTGCAGCACGCAGTGCTTGCCCCACATATCATCAACGCACTACTATCGTGATCCTTGTCCGACCACTCCCGTGCGAGTTTGGATGCCCTTTCGAGGTTCGGACCGAGGAGATTGGCTCGCTGCTCGGGCACCTGAGACTGGCGATGGGCTTCCTTCGCATCCTTCCTCGGGTAGACGTATCCCATGTTGTACATGCCGGGTCCGGAGAGGCATGCAAGGATGAGCGGTGTGAGATGGGGCTCGGAGAGTGACGACGATCAGGCACACTTTTTGGCTGCTGCGGCTACGTACTCTTCTCCCGCCGTGCTGCCTATTTGCAGAAGCCAACTGAAAAAGCTCACGCGCCCTCCTTCGTGTTGCGGCACACGGCGCAAATATACCACTTCCTAGTTTCACCACGACTACCCTGCGGCCTCAAGTCTTAAATCGCCAGTCTTCACCGGCAAGACGGCTGTTCAACCATGTCTGGGGAAGGTGGCTCACGGGTATCGCATTCGCCGCGGCAGTCCAGAGTATTCAGTCGTAGCATCAAGGCACCTCTCATCGCGATTCTCGGGCTGATAGCCACCGTCTCCGTCTGCGACAAACTCCAGCCTTTGCAAGTCAACCTCTTTGGGCGCAACGATAGCTCCCAGACACCCCCATCATGGAACTGGAGAGATGTGAGGAGCCCCCGCGGCCCTCAATGTAGCAAGAATCAACCGTGCTGACTTGCCGGAGCAGCTCCGGCCGGATCGTTCGCTGCAATGGAACAAGTGCTACGGGGGTGCCTTTGAGTGCGCCAGGCTAGATGTAGGCCATGTATCGGCCTCTCGTTTTAGCGTCCTCCTGGCTCATGAGGCCTGTACAGGTGCCCATGGACTGGCAAGACTCGTCCAACAGCGAACGAGTCACTCTCGGTGTGATGAAGCTGCCGGCCAGGTCCAAGGAGAACCCGCTGCCACCCGTCTTTGCGAATCCGGGCGTTGGTCTCCCCTCTCTAACCAACCGGCATGGATGCCATGGTCTTATCATGTGGTTCTCGTACTGATGCTCTATCGTTAGGGGCCGGGCGGCTCGGGGGTTGACTTCTTGAAAACCCTTGGGCGTGCGCTGCAGATCATTGTCGGGGATAACCAGGTGAGAGAAAACACCGAGTCCAGTGACCGAGCGGGACATGCGGAACTAAGGGCGAAACAGGACATCATCTCGTGGGACCCGCGGGGAGGTAACTGATGCGCACCCTTTCACTTGACACGAGGGACCTCCTGAGCCTGACCTTGGACTCCCGCAGTCGGCGTTTCCACTCCCCGCGTCGAGTGCTGGGGCAACGCGCTGCGAAGGCAGATGTGGGAGCTGCAGGACACGGGCGTCGTTGACGAGCGGCAAGGGCTGGTGTACGACGCCTTCTCCCGGTCCGTCGCCTGGGCCGGCGCCTGCGAAGCCGCACTCAACGGGACCAAGCTCCTGCAGCACCTCAGCACGCCGCACCACGCCCGGGACATGCTCGAGATCCTCGACAAGACGGGGCACCCCAAGCTCCGCTACTGGGGCATCAGCTATGGCACAGCCCTGGGCGGCGTGTTCGCAGGGCTGTATCCCGACCGCGTGGAGCGGCTTGTGAGCGACGGTAGGTGGTGCTCCGAAGGCCTCTCCCTGGCTTCCACCTCGCCTGAGTCCGGCTCTGAAACCGTATCCAGGCAACGTGGACTACGGCGAGTATTTCGGCCGGGGGCTCCACAACTTTCTCCGCGACGCCGACAGCATCCTAGACGCCTTTGACAGCGCCTGCCATGCCGCCGGCCCCGAGGCATGCGCCCTCTGGGCCCCGAGCGCCAAGGCCATCGAGCAGCGGCGCGCCAACCTGCTGGCCAGCCTCAAGAAGCGCCCAGTGCTGGTCCCGGCGTGGTCGCGCGAGAGCGGGCCCGACATGCCACAGCGCATCACCTACTCCAAGCTGCAGCGACTGACACGCGCCGTCGTCTACTCGCCCTCCTTCTTCTTCGAGATCATGGCGCGCGGATACGCCGCGCTCGAGGCCGGCGACGGGCCGCGCTTCTACGATGTGCTCCGCGCGGCGGTGGGACAGGGCAACGGACCGCCCGAGGCGAACCCCGTGTGCTCGCAGGGCGACACGCCGGCTGCGATGCCGCGGGAGATTGCGTCTGAGCCCGACGCCTTCTCGGCCATCATGAGCTCCGACTCGCAGGGGCCGCGCTCGCTTGAGGAGTTTGAGGACTACGTCGCGTACCTCAGGGAAAGCAGCCGCTGGCTGGGCGCGGCTCATGCGGATTTCGGCGCGGGCTATGCCGGTCGCTCCGTCGAGCCCCGGTGGCGCTTCAGCAAAGGTGAGCGGCTCTTGGTTTGAAGAGACGTGTCCCTGGAAGAGTCTATGCGCTGACGGCGATGGCCCTCTTTTCCACGGTGACGCATATGCGGGCAGACGACATCAAGGCCGACACAGCCTTTCCCATCCTCTTTATCGGCAACACAGGCGACAACGTGACGCCACTGGAAAGCACTTATAACAACTCTGCCCACTTCCCCAGCTCGTCTGTCTTGGTGCAAAAGTCTTTTGGCGTACGGTCCCCATAAGCCCCCCCCCATTCCCATCCCTCCTACTAGACGTGCCATTTGCACTCGTCTTGCCCTCTTGCTGACACTTTGATGTTGCGACGACGGCGGCTCCGCGGAACAAATAGCACGCCTCCATTGCCGCGCCGTCGACCTGTACGGCCCAGCACATCCGGGCCTATTTCCAGAACGGCACGCTGCCCGTGTCGGGAACGCAGTGCGAGCAGGACATTGGCCTGTTCGAGGACTCCCCTTTGCAGAGTTCCACCTTGGGTCCCTGGCATGGGCGCGAGCTGTCCAGGGCCGTGTATGAGTTTTCGCGCGAGGCGGCCGTGCAGATGCTGCGGGGAGTTTCTGTGTGAAGAGGGGGTTCGTCTTTGAGCTTCTTGGGGAGGAAAGGGGCTGGCGATGTGGAGGGCATGTATATGGTCGGTGGCTCGCATCCAACGACTTCGCCGAAGCTGGAAATCCCCCATTTTCCCGGTTTCTTCTTGGCCAGCCGCCGGTCACTCGTAGCCGGCCCTATCGCTCCCGTGGTGAACCTTGTCCGGAATCCGGAGCCCCTTGTCCACTGCCTCCTTCACCTTGCGCTCCAAGGCCTCGACCTTTTGCGCACGCGGGCCATGAACCTCATCCCACTCGTCGTCTACGTAACCATCTCCGTCGTCGTCGTCTTGGTAGTCGTCGCCGTGATTGCTGCCATGGCGGATGGACGACCGCCCGGCCCAGTTCCCAGCGCCGCCGCGCCCACCCATGCCACCACGACGCCCGCGGCCGTGCTGCTTCCTCGAGCGGCTCACGGCGGCGCCGACCTCGCGCGCGGCCTCGCTCGCGTCCGGCAGCTCGCCCGGGTCGACGAAGTTGCCGGCGCCGCCGCGGCCGCCGCGCAGGGGACCGGGGGCGTCGGGGGCGGCAACGACGGCGGCTTCATGCGCGGGGAGCGGCTGGCGAGGAGGAAAGGACAGATGTGGTGAGCAAAAGGAGAGGAGACGTTTATTCGGGGTTGCGTGGGATCATATCTGGGGACATGTGCGTACTTTGGCTGTCGCTTCGTCTGCTTGCTCGGGCGGCGAGGTCGGGTGATAGTTGCCCGCTCCGCCGCGGCCGACTTTGCCGAGGGCGCCTTGGTCCTGGGCCATGATTGCTGGGGGCGAGGTTGATGTCAAGGAGCGAGAGGAGACGCCGTCGGACTTGTCGAAAATGCTCGCGGTCGACGATGACGCTTCAATCCATCGCGCCTGCCTACCTATGTTTTTTCCGCCTTGATGTTGCGCAAGCGTTGCCGTGAGTCGAGGGTCGCTGCAAAGACAGGCGTACGCACTGACGTCACAGGCGACAGGCGCTAAAGACTGAAGGCACGACGAGAAGAAGAAACGACGGCAGAATAAGAGGAATGCCCTGGAACGGAGCCTCGTCTTGCTGTCTCCCGCCTCTGCTGGGCACTCTGCTTGGCAATGGGATATTGGTAAAGGTCGGTGCTTTGCCAGGTTTCAGCCGAGCTGCTTCAGGTAAAAGTCGCTTGGCCAAAGAGTGAGATGGCGTATTAGACCAATCGCTCAACCCATCGGCATGTCAGGGGGGGGTAAAGAAGGCAGCCAAGAGGGAGGAGGACACAGTACGAGTAGTTTGCTGGATAATGGATATTCTGTCTCAAAGTCCAAGGCAACACACCCCATTCCCTCGCAAGCTCCAGAACGCTGCTTGTCTCGCCTGCGCCCACGGACACGGCAGAGAGGAGGGGATAATTAACTGCAAAACCACCATGGAGGCACAACGTCGCACACTCCAGAATTACGTGCAGCTTTGCATATGCAAGTCACGCGGAGATGACCCATCGATCCCCGGCCCGTCAAAGTCGACGATCGGGCTCCCCGTCCAGGGCATAAAGAGCCGATCCCCGTGTCCCCTTTTCCCCCCTTCCGTGTTTCCCTGGAGGAAGCTTTGGTTCTCACCACGCGGGACCAACCGCCACCACCGGCGCCAAAGACATCAGGGACCCCCCAGAGAAGAGGGGGTGTGGAAAGGTGGAAGAGAGGTGGACGAGAGGTGGAATAGAGTACAAAACAACGTTTGGCGCCGGCTCCCCCTCACACACCTTGTTTGCTCCATCCGGGTTCTGCGGACAGGGCGGCCGGCGGTTCTGGAACGGCGTGCGCCGGACCCGACCGAGCGAGCCCCTCCCCTTTTCACACAGCTACGTTGTATGTGTTATTTCGTCGCAGACTTGTGCTGGCACAGGCAAGCCACGCTCGGATGTTTTTTAAGAGGGTCCCCCCTTCTCTCCCGGACTCGGAACGGGCTGGGGCGGCCGTGGACGTCGAACAAGCCGAGGGCTAGAATCGCCAATTTACCCTGGATCCCTTTCCTCCCCTATACCGCATTCACAGGCATATCACCCAATTCTTGTTCATATCGCAGCGCCCAGACCCGGGACAAACTGACCACGCTCCAAGTGGCACACTGATAAGCTTAGACTCAGCAGAAAAGGTGCCATCGGCGAGACTAGTTACCGTTGGGATAAATGGCGAAAACAACTCTTTAGCTGCTTCTCGAGGCCGAGATGATAAGCGGCACTGACGGATGCTTACAACCTGGTGTCCCACGGACATGTCGGGACAAGTCGTAGGACCATATGGCCTAATTACACCTCCATCAAGCTCCTTGTTGTGAACACGGAGTAAGACGCACAAGATGCTGTAATTAGTGCTCGACCCTTGAGGACTTTGTTAGATGGTGGCCTGTCGATTTATCGTAGCAGACCGCTCCTCAGAGTAAAACTAGAGCGGTTAGGTCCCTTTAGTTGGGCAGCAGCGTGACTTATTATTCATTGCTTCCCGTCTACTCCGTCCGCCCTTCCTCACGGCGGCCGCGCGATCCGCAGCAGGTTTCCAACGCACGTGACGCGGCATGTGAGCGACCTCCCACGTGTGGTTTTGACAGCATCGTTGGTCCCGACGCAAGGGAAAGGGAGGGAAGGCGGCAAAGAAACGGGTCCCCCGGCTAACGATAGTCAGGAACAAACTCCCTTTTTGGGGCAGGAGAGAATCTATCATTTTTTTTTCAAATGCTTTGCCAATCCTTTCGCATCGCACTGTCGCACGTCGTGCTATGTAGGAGCCCCCCCGTGTCCATTTCCGTCCGGGGCGCAGGGCAAGAGGTGGGTGGTAGCACAGTACTGTACATTGAGGGAAAGCTTGAATCTATTTTTTGTTCGCCACGGATCCCGCCAAGTGGCGCAATGGCGGACGGGGAGCAGCAGCGTTTCCGGCAAGCAGAGACGAGGCGCATGACCTCGGGACGCGTAGCGCTGTGGAGCCCGCTCTTGAGCGACGAGGAGGAGGAGCAGCAGGAGGAGAAGGAGGAGAGAGGACGGGTGGAGTGGAGGCCGCCTCGTCCTGTCAGGTGGCCAGGGAAGGACACGGTCCGTACAGTGTGTGATTGATGTCGTCCATTGGTGGGTGACTGGATGAGCTGACGATGGAGTCGCCGCTTTCTTGGGCAACAACGTAGGGTACCCTCGGCCGCCATGCCATGTTTCTTCTACTGATTCAGAATTCAGCTCCCCCCCTCTCCATATGAGGTGTCCAAGGAACCAAGGCAGTTGCCCATCCCTCGCCATCCATCAATTGCCCCCTCGTCAATTGCGGGGTAAGGAAGAAGCCCAGACGGGCCACATGCAGTAGTAGAGCAGACAGACAGTGGCAAGACCGGCCGGTCACCGGGTAGTGCAAGGTAGTGCAAGGTACTGGCACGGGAGCTTCATAATCCTGGCCAACAAAGGAAGCACCGAAATGAAAAGAGCCTGCCCTGTTTTGCTGCAACGACGCGCCCTTTTGTCTGCCAATGGCCACAGCAGCACTCCGGGCATGCGCCAGCCCTTGGGGGAACAGCTCCAGCAAGGAGGTGGTGCTGTTGTCCGGCAGGGCGACGAGGCACAGTCTCAGGGCCGCCTGCGTCCACGGCAGGGGGTGGGGGGGCACAGAGCCACCCACCCTCTCTAGCCGTGGCACGCCTCACTGCATCAGGCCGCCCCGGTATGTGCACATTCGTGGGTATGTAGCTAACGAGAGGGGGACCAGACAGCACTGTACTGCACTGCACTGTACTGCACTGTACTGTACAATTTACAACAAAGACCGAACTGTTTCCTCGGTACGCATCGTCGGCCCTCTCTGGCGTGCGTGAAGGAAAAGGAGAGTAGCAGTTCCGCTCTTTGGCAACGCATCGTGTCTCGGCATCACGATCCGCCGAACCCTACTTCTGTCTGCCCTGCCGGGCCCGCTTCCAGACGGGGGCGGTTGGCTGTACACTCTCTACAGTACCTACTACTTACAGTACTGTACATACAACATACGAGGCAGCACTTTGGAGCAAAAAGACAAAGCACCGTGGAGAATTCCCCTTTGTTTACTGTATGTACTTGGCACCTCTTGGACAGCCCGTCCCCCGCCCCCTCTCCCACGGCATTGCACAGCTCGACTCGAAGAAGCAGCGTTTCATCTGACTTCATGCGTCCAGGCCGCCGGTGGGTGACGAGAATGGGGGCACGTTAACCGGACGGGCGTGACTGATGGAGACACAGGGCGTGGCGAGAATATTCCACATCTTGCACCTCTACAACCCACCTGTATCAATTCATGGCGCGGGGGAGGTAGAGAGCAAAGCCGGCGGGCGTGGACCGGGGAGGGGGGGTGCGAGTGCATGACCAACCTCGTCGGCAAGTCGTCGTGGAATATTGCTTAACCCGCGTGACCAGCCGAGTGCCTGAATATCTTGCTGCTCCGCACGCAGAAGATCGAGCACAATATGGAAATGTTCCATGCTCACTCATGTGTATCCGCATATATTATATATATATATATATTATATGTATATACATGGCATGGAAATACTGTACAAAGTATAGACAGTCCCCGCCTCGCCGTGGATTCTTCAGCGCCGCCTACCATCTTGAGCCAAGGTCCAACCAAGTGTGTCGGCAATGGATAAATGGCCTCACCTTGCCCTCTCCATCCATCTAACCCAAACCCTCCCCCACCCACTCACCTCACTTGACTTGCTCAATGGCCAGTTAGGGTTGGGCTGCTTTTTACTCCCGCACCACCACCACCCCATTCCTCCTCCTCCCCCTCCTCCTCCTCCTCACGGGCGGCCACCCGCGCGCGCACGCGTCGTGGCTTCTTCTCACACATACAAATCACTTGATGGATGTCTGGTGGTACATGCATGGTGTGCATGCAAGCACTGCTGCATGGAGAGGCACGGTAGTAGTAGGTAGGTATGTACAGTATGTACAAGCGTGCATGCGTCCACCGCGTACTGTAACTACACACACCCAGGACTCGTGTAGGCGAGGCACGGGATTTCCGATCAAGCCCTTTGTTGAGCCCGTTTTTTTTGGTTGCCTTTGTCGTGGTATCCATCCCGTAAGCTGAGCTGAGCTTACCGAGGCCGACGAGGTGTAAGTCGATGGATGTGACGGAGGTCCTGCGCATGGAGGAAAGCAACTCGCACACCACTCTCTCTCACGCGCACAATGGGCGTTCCTGACAAACAATCGCCCACGTGTGTACCTGCCTTCCAGGAACCTGGTCCTGTGATTGATTGATTGATTCGACGAGGGGGTGACTGCAACACAAGACTAGATTTGACGGATTGATTGGCGCAGCCTGTTCATTCCCCGGCCTGAGACATGCCATCATGGGTCTTTGAGGAACAAGTACCGGAAGAGGGGGCAAGGCCAACGGAGAGGAAGAAATGAAAAAGCAAGCAATGAAGAAAGGCAGAGACGAAAGGCAAGCAAGCCCAGCAAGCAAGCCCAGCAAGAAAGCCCGACAAGAAAGCAAGGGATAACGAGAGCAAGCAAGCAAGCAAGCAAGCAAGCATCGAGCAAGCAAGGAGGCAAGGAGGCAAGCAGACCAACATCTCCTCACCTCTCAAGAGCACGCACGCACTTTCTTTCTCCTTCCCCCAATTTACCAGGCAATCCATCCCCCCGCTCTCCAAGCCAGAAAGGCCAAGCCCGTCAAGCTAGGTAGGAGGAGAGCGGCGGTCCATCGAGCGCCACGCCCACTCATTAATGCCCCGAGCGCTCCGTGCGAGGGCGAAATCCAAGCGTCGAAACATTTTGGCACCACAAGCGGATGCGACGTGAGTAAGAAAAATAAATCGAAAAAAATCTTCCAGCTAGTCCCTCTTCCGACTTCTTCTTGGTGCCCTTGCTCCCGAGGAATTCGAATGGCAGCAGGCTCTGGTGTCGCAATTTTCTAGTCCAAGCAAAAGCTCCCCAATGCAAGGCATGCATATTACCTAGCAATGTCTCGTCCCCCTCGGTCGCTGCTACAGTACCTCGCCGCCCACGGTGTAGTGCCGTGTCGCAAGGTACCTGGGCTTCTACCGTGCCTTTCTGCTTCCGTTCCGGTACCTTGCTTGGCTCAGCCCCATTTCCACGCTCCTTGGTCTCTCAGGTCACGCCCTCTCTCCACCTCCTCGCAACATCCCACCCTCTCACGCAGAAAGACCTTGGGATCCATCTTCACACCCTCTCCGTCCCTCCAGAATCGACCTGATGATCAGCCGGGCGGCGGGGGTCCCACTGGCCCGTACGTGGCCAATGCCTCGCCTCGTCTCGCCCCCACCTCACAGCCCGTCGCGACAGTGCGAGCGGCCCCGCGCGCGCTTGGAAGCTGCTGGAAAGCGAGAGAGAGAGAGGGCCGAGGGGAGAGAGTGCTTGGAGGGAGCCGCCGGCGGCATTCGCTCCGGCTTGCTCTGTTTCTGCTGTACATACATGCATTGCAGTCGGACACAGTGTGTGACCAGGCACCTACCGAGTACCTAGGTACCTCGCTACCTACAGTACCTACAGCGCAGAAGGGGCATTTATCCGCCACGACCGCTACTAACGAGGCAGCACGGCAGTGAGCAGGCGTCCCCGCCAGCCGCCAGCACGTCACGGCGTCGACTCGAGTCCTCCACCTCCACCCACGCACGCCCCCGGTCGCAACGGGCGAACGAACGGTCGCTGTACCTGCCCTGTAGGTACAGCACAGTACTCTCCCTTGGGTCCCGGTAATCGCAAGATCGGAGGCGCCGTCGATTCACCTAGGCCAGATACGCCAGAACACGGAGCTGCTACACGCGCCCCCTCCCCCTCCGTCTGTGCCTCTCACACGCACCCCCATAGCCCGTACGCAACTGTGTGCCTGTTCCATGTCCCAAAAATATTATTTCTCGCTCTCGCTCGTGACAACCTGGCTCCTCGCCAACTCGCATCCCTCAGCGTCCGCACAACCCTCGTCCCAGCAGGTCGAGAGGACAGACCGACTGCTGCAATCCTCGAGCCCGTCACGGCCCGCCTTCTGTCGTCTCTGTCGTCTCGCAGCCCAGAGCATTCCAAGTCGTTGGCAATGGCCTCCTCAAAAGTATGACCTGTCGTCTTGGGGGACGTCTTGCTGGCTTCTTCCCGCTCCGGAGCTGTGCTGATGACTCTTCCGCCGACTCCAGGAAATGCATCCATCCGCCAGACCATTGATGCACCAACGTCCCGTCCTCTCCAGCTCCTCCTCTTCCGGTGCCCCCGGCCGACAATCCCACGCCCGAACAAACTCCCACTCCCTCGTCGCCGGCCCCCTCAACGCCACCCATCGTGTCACCAGACGCAAGTCTGTTACCAACCCCGGCCCCAACCTCGCCGCCCTCACCGCTGCCGTCGCCGGCGGCGAGCAGTCGGCCGCCATGCCCATCTTGGGCGCCGGTCGACGCAACGCCTCGTCCAAGTCTCGGGTCGGGAGCCTCCCCTCACCGCCCGCCAGCCTGCCCATCCACAAGACAATTCCCGACGTCAAGGAAAGTGCCATCGACGACGAAGCGAACGAGGCATCTGGGGATGAGGAGCTGGGCAAGTCACCCAAGGCGCGCCTGCGCCGGGCTAGTGACGGCCAGCCCCTCGCCAAGGACGCCAAGAAGAGCAACCGCGTTGAGGTGCGCTGCGAGAAATGCGGCAAGGGTTACAAGCACAGCAGCTGCCTGACGAAGCATCTGTTAGTACCCCCGTTGCATGGTGGCTGGTTGGCTAGCGACCCGCCCCGATTTCGGCGTCTTCAGACGTGGGCCTAGACGTGCCTGTGCGGACTCCACCTGTTAACGCGTTTGTCAGATGGGAGCATACGCCCGAATGGTCCTACACCTCCAAGCTGCTCATCTCCAAGCACCAGCAGGTCCAGCTGCTCGAGGCCGCTTCCGTCCTGGTTGCCATGAATGGCAAGGAAAGCTCGGCGACACCTCCCGACTCCACCAAGGATTCTGCCAGCGAGCCTGACTCGGCGTCGCCCGCCGCCTCTGGCTATTCGGAGCAGGGAGAGCGCCAGAGCTCGGCGGATACCACACCACCGCCAACCATCGAGGGCATCAACTTTGGCGCATCTCCGTACCATGACACGTGGCAAAGCGGTGCTAGCGACTCGTCTCAGCAGTATCGGAGCGCGTCACTCAACCCTCCGTTTGCCTCGGGGAATGTGCTCCACCGGTCAGGGTTTGGACATTTCCGGCAGCCAAGCCATGAACGACGTCCTCCGTCCTCGGGAGCCAACAAGACGGGCCAGGATGATCGGGACTTGGCTGCCGCTGTTGAACTCCTCAGCTGCAGTTTTGGAAGCAACAACGGGTCTCATGGCACCATGACGCTCCCGGGAGATGCACCTCCCGTGCCGCCTGTTCCGCCTCGATACCTCGACCAGGCTGCTTCGCTGTCGAGCGCGGGGTTCATTAACAGCTTCCCTAGCCGCCAGCCGGAAAGCTTCACTCGAGGCGAGATGCGGCGTGATAGCGTCGACGTCAAGATGGAGGACAGTGGCGACGACGACGACTTTGATATGCTGTCTCGCGCTCGGAGCGACGAGGACGACGACGGCGTTTTCGGCCGCATGGAGGAATGACGACGGGTCGGCACGAGCAGGAGCGTTTCTGGAAAACCCGGAGCTGCCATGCACGGCCGAGTTGGATAATTGGATAATCGCGAAAGGACGGGTGCCATTTCTCTTGTATCACGATATACTCGACTTGTATGAGGTGGTTCAGCTCCGCCGCCAATCTTCAGCACCGAAGAGTGGAGAGCCTCGCCTGGCAGGCGTGATTGCATCTCCACGAGGTTAAAGTGAGGATTCGGAAAGGCGTCGAGCGAACACCCGGATAAATACCAATTGAAGCCAACTTGGATGAAGAATTACTTGCAACGGCGCGACGTGGGAGCAGCGTCTTGCTCAAGTGTCACGCACGGATGGGCGTGAGGCGAATCTTGGCCAGTTAGGAATGAAATCGACGGAAGGGCGAGCAGGAAGCAGCTGCGGCTTTGCAGATTGCTTTGCAGGTGGATGCGAAGACGCTGCACTTGTACCCAAGGAGGGATGGCCGTAGCTTGCATCTGGGAGCAAGACGTAAGGAGGAAGGGAGAGAAGAAGAAATCTTCCGCAGAACGTCTTCTCAGAGTCTGCTCCAGAAGGAGGTACTTAAGTGGTGCTTAATAACTCGGAGCTGGAGAGGTGAAAGGGGTCATTGCTTCCCCGAAGCCTAATTTCTTCGTCGGCGTGCCAAGTACCCTGCACAGTAAAAACGCGTGGTGGGTACTAATGCTGTGCGAGCAGGGGAAGGTTTCCCCAGCGACCAGCCAAAACGTCACCTGTCCCCGCTGGTGATCGATTCTTCTTCTTTTCTTTTCCTCCACGAGCTCTCCCCTCCATCACCAGCTTGCGCCCACACAGACCACGGCCCGGCGCAGATTCTGTGGTCGGCACAGTCAATGTCCTAGACACCGCCGGCCATTCGCTCCCAAAATACTCCGTGTTCGATCTGCAACAGAAGCTTGGCGCAGCGCGAAGCGACCGGCATGGCGCCAACTAAACGAAGCGCAAAGTCTGACGCCGAGGCTCCGGTCAAGGCACACGGGGAGCTGGTCGGGGTTGCGGGTGCGACGCGGCCGTGTCGCGGGACACTGCCCGCCCCTTTGAAATTTCCAATCGCGGCGACGCTGAGCTTTTGCATGGCGAGCCTGGGCTACAGCCTCGTCGGCGAGCTCAGCAAAGGAGAGCTCGCCTCGGTGAGCCGCAGTCAGGATACATGGGGCGAAGTGTCCATCTTGGCAGGGTGGAGGATGTGAGTGCATTTGGCCCCCTCCCCTTATCACGAGCAGGAACACGGCAGCTGATGGCGCACATCTACAACCAGCGCCGAGCTGGCCCTTGCGTGGGTGGGCAATCTAGACGCCCTGGACGTTGCCATGCTGGACATGTTGTCTCATGGACCATGGGTGAGAATCTTGGCCGCGCACGAGGGTCGTCTACCCACATCGCTGACCCGGCTTAGCTCTTCCTCCTGACTGCATTTTACTCACTGAGTCCTGCCACCGCGGCATCTGCACTGGCTGTAGATATACTGGCGGCGGCCGTGCCCTTTTACCTGCTACGCCCGCTTTCAAACGTCCACCGAGGCTCGGCGAGGGTGCCGAATCGCGAGCTCGTCGACCTGCCGCTGCAGCTGTACACGACGGCACTGTCCACGGGCATATACACCGTCGTGCTAGTCCTGTCGCTGCGCTTCGTCCTGCCCCGGATCCTCGTCGTCTACTTTTCTGGCCTGCCCAGCCTCGAGCCCGCGTACACGGCGTCCTACAGCGGCATCCTCCCGGCCACGCTCCTCCTTGGTGCGGCCGCCAATGCCTTCATCTTTGCGCCCTTTGCCACGACGGGCAAGTCGAAGGAGGACGACGAGGCCAGCCAGTTCGATCCAGTCATGGCCACGCTATGTGAGACGGTGCGATGGAACCTTTGGGGCTACACGTCCAAGACCAAAGTTGTCATCCGACGAACGGTGGCCGTGATGCTCCTGACGGGGGTCAACACCTACCTCTCGTGCACCAGGACCATGCACGGCGTCGAGGAGGCCGGCGCAGCCTCGTACGCTGCTGTATGGGTCTTGGCGGCCCTGTGCACAGGGCTTGGGCTTGGGCTTGTCGGCGGCGATTAGCTGGCGCGACGACCTCTGAGCCGATGGCGGGAGGGGGTGCAGAACGTCGGCCGCGGCAAAAATGTATCATACGCAGGAGGGGGGCGTTTGCCAAGACGCGCTTGATGGGAGCAAAAGGAGACTGAATCGAGGGACGAGGGAGCAGAAGTTGGATCTGATATACCATTTTCCTTGGGTTCACAATGTCTAGTTCGTGCCGGCCGACAGTGATTGATGGCCTTGCTGTGGATTCCCGTCTCTTGCAGCGCCTCGAGGCGGTTTGCCGGAGCCGCTGGAGCAAGGAAGTGTGTACGGATACTGCACTAATACGGATAATCCCTTTGAGATATCCCTTGGATGCCCGAGGGACATGCCATCAGGTACGGCTGTAGTATACGTACTTGAGCGGTACCCGTCGGAAAATACAGATTGATCGCCACGATGCAGATTGACTGATTTTACCACGCTGAAGAAGACAGGCAAGTGCCGGCAAGTGGGTGGGATGCGGCAAAGCAGCTCGGCACCGCGCGTAGGGCTGGCTTGGCGACGAGCAGCAATCCCACTCGAAAGCAGGTACTGTACCTCTACCTCTGGCCCTCCCAAAATAACAACCTCATTTTCGTGCACAAACCATCTTCCAATTCTGCAACCCTCGCCCACGCTCCGTGACGACGGGCCCTCAGCCAGCTCGAAAAGGAAAGGGTGGGGGTTAAACGAGGAGAGGAGAGGGCTGCGCCGCACGCATACGCTGGGAGACGACGCCCAACAGGCGCCAAAGGAGGTCCCGTTCTGGCGAGGCAGCATCGCGTCTCCTCACGAACCTCGCTCGCCTGGACAGGCCAGCGGCAGCACGCCCGAGCAGTGGCGAACAAGGAAACGCTGCAACAAGTGTAGGCGTGCGAGCCTCCCGCGGCCAAGAGTATGAAGGAGGTACGACGACATCTCTGCCCAGCAGGTGCCTGGAGACTCGTCTGGTTGGTTACAGCTTCTCCTCGGAAGCCCAAAGCCATCCGACGGCGCTGACTGGACAGGAGGATGTGCGCCGCGCCGCGATCAAAGATCCTGCCAGCTGTTGCCCTGGGACTCTTTGTCTCCTCATCGTCGGTCATTGAGCACTATTCAACCGGGAGACCCCTTGCCTGGGAACGAGGACCGGAGCCTGCAGGTAAGTACAATATGGGCTGCGGCCTCTTTGCGCATGTTGGTGCCAACGTTGAGTTTACCTGGCTCCCTTCCCTGACAACGGCGCGGAGCAAGTACACGCAAGGGTACGACAAGGTAGTTGACTGACACAACCAGGGGCCCATCCTCTCCCGCTCGGTGGTAATGTCAAACTTGCGCGCTGCCAGCCCTTCCACGACACACGCTTCCGGCTGGCACTTTAAGAGATCGGGCAGCGTCAAGGGCGACGACTCACTGGACCTTTGCGGCCCATTGGAAGTATTGGGGAGCGTCAAATCTGGGCGCAGCATCAATCTCCGGGGAGACTTGGTTGTGCGAGACGACATCGATGCGTATGGCGACATCACCATGGACGGCAGCGTCAGCTGCGGGTGCGTCTCGGCCTGTCCCACGCCCCGGATCTCGAGCCGGAGCATGACTGACGGGGCGCGTAGAGGCTGTATCCGGGCTTACGGCAACATCTCAATCACCGGGTACTTGTCTTCAAGGTGTGTGTTGGTTATGGGCTAGATTGACACCCCAATCGCGGCTAACTGGCGGAGGGCGGCAGCGGGAGCATCAAGGGATACGGGAAGCTCAAAATTGACGGAACGCTCGAGGGCCAAGATTTGGAAGTCTACGGGAACCTGAGCATCACTGGATACCTGTAAGGCACGTGCTCGTCACTACAGCAGGCCTGGGACGCTGACAAGCTCTGTTAGAAAATGCCGAACGCTGGTAGTCTTCGGCTCACTGTCGCTGATTGGGCCCAGTTCCACCTACATGGTTGAGGAATCGGAGCAAGTGGCTGGTGCCAAGCTGATGCGAGAGCAGGAGGCAGACTGGGATTTCTAAGGCCCCGTCAATTGCGGACTGGGCCTGTTGCATTTCTCACCGAAGGCCACACGAAACTTGGGAGCTGTTGTCTTGGGAATAGAGACAAGGTGTACTGTACAGTAGCTGTCGAGCAATCGATTGGTTTACGCCAAGATCTGCCAACTCTAGGCGAACTGTGGTTCTCATTCTGGGTGGAGCTGACCCACCAGGCTGATGAGGGAGCTCTTAGCCACCGACGAGGCTTCCGGAGAAAGCTTTCAGCTGAATAGCACAGAGACAGGCCGTCTCGGTTTGTGACAAGGTCGGTTCTGGAAAGAGAGGTTGGACTTGGCTGGTGGTGTTGCAACAGGAGAGTTGCTTGATGACTCAGCGGGAGCAGCTGCGCATTACCTAAGCGCAAACGCGTCCTGGTGCCGGCCGGCGCAGGCTGGTGGAGCTGAACACGACCCATGCGCATCCTTGCAGGACAAGCCTCAACAACGAGTCGCGCATCGCAGTCTTCCCGTCAGACGGCCCGCGGAACGAGAAGCAAATGGCAGCGCAGACTCCCGGGCCGTCCCTGTCCCACCAACTTCAACGACGTCTCTGAAGAAACGGGCACGCGTCACCCGCGCACCCGCTCGGTTCAAGGACATGGCGGCCGGGGGTGAAGACCACGAGGCCGAGGCCGACGACGTGCTGCCCGAGCAGGGAAGCTCCTTGAGTCAGGCCCCGAATGTTCCTGCCGCTGCGGCTGCAACCAGACTAGAGCCGAGGGCCGATCCCGATGCGCAGACGACGGTCAGCGATTTCCTCGACTTCACCGAATACCTGCCCTCGGACGTGATACGCTCCCTGACGCTCATCGGGAAGCTCGACCAGACCTACACGGACGCCTCCATCAAGGTCAACGACTTGACTACGACATGGAGCCAGCTGCCGAGCAGCGCCGCCCACGAGCGGCCGGATCCGGCCCGCCTGCGCGCCGTCATCTCGGAGCAGCTCGACCAGGCCGTCAGCTCCAGGGTGTTTGCCCACGCCGAGGCGGTAAGGATGTCCGAGAATGTCAAACGCCACTACAACAAAGCCAAGACGCTCCTGGATAAGTTGCAAGGAATGATGGACAACTACCCGACCGATGAGCCAAAGAGTCCCGTTGCTGCCAAGTCGCCCCAGATGTCTCGCGCCAGACTGACGGTGCGGTCGACCGACGAGGACGGCAAGAAGATATCGCGCCACAGAATACCCAGGATCACGGTTCCTGGCGAAGTTTTGGCTCCCTACGACATAGAGTACGATACGTGCACCGATGACAGCGACATTAGCTCCGACTCCGAGTCTGACATCCCGGCAGCTGGGAGACGAACGCCAGCTCCCGGGACGCGCATCAAGCTCGTGGCCAACAAGACGCCCAAGTCGGCGAGCCGCCCGCCCCGTCCGCAGCACAGCTCGGCTGCCATGACTGCGGCGGCGGCGGCCAACGCGGCTGCCCTGCTCAACCCGCCCCCGGAGAATGCAGTGGTCGGCAGCTCAGACGCGCCGTGGCTGCAGCTGACACAGTACGAACTGGCCAAACTCAGGAAGCGCATGAAGAAGAACGCCACGTGGACACCCAGTGATACAATGGTTGCCAGGGAACTCAAGGCGCTGGGGCGCGGCCCCGACGAGTATCGCGAGGCGAAGCGCAAGGCGGAAGAGGAGGGTAAGGCGTTCAACCCCAGCATGCCGAGCCCCGTTGTCGACGACGAGTCGGGCACCCAGCAGCTTCCCGCCGGAGCCTTGAGTGCTGACTCGTTGGCCGCGGAGGAGCATCCCACCAGTAACAGGGGCATGAAGCTCAACGAGGCCAAGAAGCTCAAGCGGGAGGCGCTGGCAAAGCTCGCGGCCGAAGAGGCTGAGGAGTCAGCGCGTAAGATGGTACAGGCCGCGAAGCTGTTCTTGGGAAACGGCCCGGAAAGCTCGAAGGAGTCGGGCACGCCGTCGGGAAAGCCCAGGACGAGCTCGCGGTCCAACGGCAAGCGGAAACGAGAAGTCGAGAGCGAGGACACGGAGCCCGCCGAAGCAAGCGAGACGCCGGCGTGTCCTCTGCTCAAGCGAACCAAGACGGAGACGCCCGTGCCCCCGCCTCCCCAGCATCTCGGATCCGGCCAGAACAATGCGCCTGCCGCAGACGGGGCCGGAAACGGGGCCCTGCTCACTCCCGGCGGGTCGGTGGTGGTGACGCAGTCGGAGACGCCCGTGCCCATACCCGTGCCCCCGCAGGGCTCATCGGCCAAGTCGGCGGCATCTCCCTCGTCGATTGCATCCAATGGGAACACGGTCACAACGTCGGTGCCCACGAAGCCTCCAGCCGCGGAAACGCCTGTCCCGCTCCCTCGGACAGACCAGAGAGCGCCCGTCCCGCCCCAGACACGCGAGGGCAACAGGCGGGAGACGCGCGGAGACGCCGCGAAGCGTAATCAGCAACAGGCCCCTGCTCCGTCTCAGCCAGCGCAGCCAGTGATTCCAGAACAAATGCCGATACGGCAGTCGGCCTCGCGCGGCCATACGCCCGCCGCGACACCGGCGCCGGAATCCGTTGGCGGGAGACGGCCAGGATCTCGAGGTAAGGCGATGAGTCAAGAGCCACCGCCCTCGTTGGCGGCCGAACGGTCGCGGCGCGCCAGCACGGCTCGCAACACGCCGGTGCCAGAGTCGAAGCAGCCGCCTAAGCGGGCCAAGCGGCCTGCCCCCGGGGTCGTGAGCACGACGAGCAGCGGCGGTAACAGCGCCGTCGGCAAGCGGAAGGCGGCCCCGAAGAGAAAGGCGCGGACGACGAAGCGGGAAAAGGGCCAGGTGACGGAGACGGAGATGGAGGAGGTGGACGACGAAGGCAACCCGATCGACCCCAACGAGCCGCGCTATTGCCTCTGCAACAGGGTGAGCTTCGGGACGATGATCCAGTGCGACAACATGGATGTGAGTGGCGGCATCTCGGGCGGTCCACGGTCTCGCGCTGCAGCTAACGCAAGCACTGAGCAGAACTGCAAGCAGGAATGGTTCCACCTCGAGTGCGTGGGCCTGTCGGACATCCCGGCACGGACGACTAAGTGGTATTGCCCGGACTGCCGCAGGCTGCTCAACATTGGCGAGCGGGGAGAGGTTAGCGCCCGGGGCGTCAGGAAGTAGCGGCGGGCACGGGGCGTTTTGCGGGCTTTGAATTATGGAGTTTTGGCGAAGCGAGGGTGCGCGACGGGCCACGGCCGAGGTCGGGAGCGGCCGTCGGAGGACTGCGGGCGGTCCGGACCGGGACCGTGAATAAGTTATGCACCTTGTTTGTCCAGCCACGGCGACGGCTCGTGCAGCGTGTGTAGGATTAGGCCGAGGGGCACCCAACGTGAAGTTGACGGGACACGACGCAGGACCTCGGGATGATCTGGCACCGGTAGAGTAGATGAGCTCACTGCGTTGCGGGCCCCCCACGCGGGGTTGGAGTCGAAACGGCCCTGTTGCGCGGGAGAGCCGCCCAGCGAGACAGCTACAACCTTTTGTTATGTGTTACATGCCGCCTCGGCCTTGCACGATCCAACAGCCTACGCTACGCTACTTGATTTACCTGCCTCTCTGCGACTCGACGGGAACGCACAAGACCATGTCGGGAGCCGTCAGTGGAGGATACATGCCCGTGTACGCGGACGACGGCGAGCTGCCGGACCCGGAGGTGCGGACCTTTATCACCAACTTTTACAGAATCTCGGACCGGCCGGACGCCAACGAGCTATGGATCAGCTACTTTGCCAAGGACGCGCACGTAACCATGGGCACTGAAAAAGGCCGCGGCGAGCAGGGTAGAGTCCTCCCTCTCTCTCTCTCCGTTGATTTGTCCTGGGTCCCTGTGGCTGACCGAGGCAACAGAGATTCGCGAGCTGCGCAGCAGAATGTGGACGACGGTGCGGGAGCGGAGACACACAGTGGCCAAGGTGTTCCCGGGCCGGTTCCGAGACGACGAATGCGAGTGCGAGGTGATGCTGTTTGGCGAGGTCAAGCTGACGACCAAGGAGGGCAACGAGGCCGTGGTGCCGTGGGCGGCGCACGGGGGGCTGCGGAGGGAGGGGGCCGGGTGGAAGTTTGCGCGGTATCGGGTCTGGCTGCAGAAATAGAGAAACAGGTCGAATTGAATGGATTCTTTGCCGACAGACGACTTCTTTCGGCGCACGGGACAGATCTGGGATGACTTGTCTGCATCGGCGATGGCGTCACGTACGGATGCTCATACGGATAGTGAGCGCATACCAACATCATCGGGGCAACGCATCCGGCGGCGGGCTGAGGCTCCCATGTACAGCATGTACAGCATGTACAGCATGTACAGCAATTATTACAGCATGTCCCCTGGTGCCGGAGGGCCAGGGCGAGCACGAGGAAAAACAGGGCTAGGCCAGATACATTCCTCATCATAAAGGTCTCGGGGGGGCAATGGCGTGCGAGTATCCAAAACCTAATACAGTACGTGAGATACTGTATGAGATACTGTATGAGATACTGTATGGCGGCCGGGAGAGGGGCAGGCCGGGGGCTGGCTCTCGCTCAACTCACCTGACACGCTGTCACGGCTTGTCGCCAGGCGGGGGGAGGCGTGAGGGGAGGCGTGGGGGGAGGAGAGACTGGCTGGGCACGTCAGCGCTGGGCAAGACGATTGGAGGGGAGGGAATCGCGTCAACAGGACGAGGAGAAACGCGAGAAGAGAGTCGGCTGCCGGTATGGATCTCGTGTACCCTGGACGTGCCGGATACTCTCGGCAGTATGCAGAGGTGGGTTGCGTGACGTGTACCGGGGACTTGATGACGCAGGCGCGGGCGTCATGCGGGCTGGCCGTCGATAAGCAATGCGACGCAAGATGATACCGGACCTCGATTCACCACGGCAGATAAGCGCCTTGTTTGCTGGGCAAGGCGCCCGCAACCTTAACCTTTGGCTGGCCACTGAAAGGGCTCCCTGGACGGCGTTTGACCTACCGCCTGGCAGACACCGCCTGGCAGACACCACCCCCTCTGCCTCTCCGGCCGTACCGCCCAAGCATCCGCAGGTGCGGCGGGCACGTGTCTGCAAACTCGCTCAGTCATGCACTGTGCGCACCGTACCTGTACCTGGAGCCCCTCCCCGCGTCTTCCCCCACCTCCGTTTTTAACCGTTCCAGATTCCCCCCTTTCTGCCCATCAGCTGGGCTTGTTAGTTGGCTACCTAACCTACCCGGCGCTCTGGAGGGCCCCCCCCCTGCAACCGCCCTGCCCTGCCCTGTCCTGCCAGGCCAGCACGCCCAGCGGCAGCCGCCTTGGTTGGGTTCAGCCCAGGGCAGGCCAAGCGGGGGGGTGGGGGGCGTGTCCTGATGGTTCTCTCCCCTGGCCAAGGTATCCTTCCAAGGTATCCTTCCGGGTACCTCTCCACTCCAGCTGTATCTTGAGTGACTCGGGAGTGTTTACACGCCTCGGCCGCCTCTAAGCCGGCTGCTGACTTGCGAGAGGGTTAGCGGCCTCGAGGCAAAGAGTCATAGCCGCTCCCCGGGGCCGAGCTGTTCCCCCCCCAAGCTTGACTGCTTCATCAAACCGACTCCCTTTGCATGACAGACTAAACCCACGATCCCATCTCTTGTCGACGCCATTTCAAGTCCTTCATTTTCCTTGCCCCATAGACACTTTCTTTGTTTCCCTTTGTTTCCCTTAATAGAAGCCAACCGTCGTCGTCCCGCACCGGCCCCGTGCGTATCCGCTGCCTATCGCGGCCCCTCGATAAGAACCGCCCCCTCGGTCGCCGCATCCGCTGCCCCTCCATCTGCATCGGCCTCCGACGTCGCACTGGAAGATCCCATCACCAGAGACCCTGCGAATCGAAGCGGCCTGGTCTTGCTGGTAGGAGGCTCGTGGCCAGTCCGGGCCTTCGTGTTCTCTCGGGAGCAGGAGACTGCATTGCTGCGGGCGTGTAAACACCAGTTGAATGCCTAGTGCGTCCCCGACCAGATGGATCGTCGCCGTGATGCGAGCCCTCGTCCAGCTGGTGCCATGACGACTGACCGCGGCTCTGCACAGGCTCCAGGAAGGACAAGAAGCATGCCAGAGAAAATGGCGGCATCGCCGCGGCCGTGACCAAACAGGCCGCCGGCAAGTTTACGTGAGTTGCCACGCGCTCTCGGCCTGGTTAATCCCCCGTCGTCCTGCTTGTCCGACTGACGGCCCCGTCTTGCACAGAAATGCCCACGGCGGCAGCACCGACCCCTCCAAGGGCCGCCCTGCCTCGGATGCCTCGTCGCCCCCCCCCCCCGCTGCCGCCAACACACCCGAGATCAACCCCTCGCTCCTCGACAATGACAAGCACGCCGCCGCCTCGCCCCTGCTCGAAGCCCTGTCCACCACCTCGGCTTCCGCAAGCACCGCTCCGAGCCTCGCCACTGACTGGGCAAGGGGGGGCTTGGCCTGTTCGCCCGGCAACTTCATCAGCCTCGCCAGCGAATCCCCACCCACCCTGCCGTCATCCTACGAGGACGCGGCACGTGCAAACCACGCCTGGTCTGCCCACCGCCCGTTTGTGAGCCCCTCGCCGGCCGCCTCGTCCCCTCCCCGCGCCAGCCGACGGCCCCTCAGCTTCCAGATGGACGCCCAGTCTCTCAACACGTCCGGAACCCCCCCGCGCGCGGCGTCGACGGCCGCCTTTCGAAGGAGCTCCCTGCACTCGCAGTACCCGGGCTCCCGAGCTAGCTCCCACCCGCCCCTCCCTCACCAACCCCAGGCACACTTTTATGGTGCTTCGGATCTCGACCTGACCATTACTCCCCAGTCCGGCGGCATGAAGGCCGGGGACCGGGGCCTCTTCTTCGGCTTGGACAAGCTTCCGGCCGCCGATGGCTCGGCCGCATTGGACAATGTTGTGCTGGCCGGCTACGAAGGCGGGCTGCAGGTCTACGCCATCAGCAAGCGGGGCGTCGACCTGGTGGCGAGCCTGAGGGGGCTTCGTGGCGGCGTGCATCATGCCAAGATTCTTCCCTGGACCGTCCGCGGCGGCGAACCTTCGCCCTTTCCCCTCGTGGCCGTTGTTGTGCATGGGCCTGTGGTGCCCTCGCAGTCGGCAGATGACGAGACGCAGGATCAAGGCATCGCAGCTGCGACTTCAGAGGATGCAGCAGGCCCTCGACCGGGCTTTGCACTCCAGGACGGGCCCCAGGGACGCGCGCATCCCGCACCCCTCGCTTTCCAGACCTCGGTCGAGGTGTACTCGCTCAAGACCAACCGGCTCGTCGACGTGCTCCTTTTGGCGCAGAAGACACCGATAAACGCCGAAGTGTCTCTGTCCAGCCCGCTCTTCCAGCCGCCGGCTCCGAGCGGAGCCTTCACTATCAAGGCAGACGCCGGAACCATAACCGTCAGCTCCGGGGTCACGGGCGAGTGTTGGATCTATCGCCAGCTTCTGCAGCCGCAGAACAGCCACGTCTTCGCCTGCGCTGGAAAGCTGTGGACTACCCTCCAGCAGAGCCATCGGGGCGAGGTCGCCGAGGAGAGCGATAAGACGCATCTCGCGACCACGCCTCGCCGACCAAACCCGCAGGCCCCGGTCCTCGCCCTCAACGGCCGTTGGCTCGCCTACTGCCCGGCGACCCCGTCTTCGCAGATCTCGCTGAGGGCACACCTGCCTGTGCCCATCCTGGGCCGGGCCCCTGGGGTGGCCTCGCTGACGCCCCCTCACCTGCCGACGGTTTCGGCCTCGGCAGATCTGCCCATCTCGGACAGCATGGTAAACAAGATCATGCGGGAGACTACGCAGGAGCTGATTCAGGGCGCCAAGTGGGTTGGACAGCAGGGTCTGCAGGCGTGGAACTCGTACTGGAACAAGCCGTCCAGCCCGCAGTCGCAGCAGCTGCAGCAGCCAAGGTCGCCGCCGAAGCACTGGGTTGGCTCTCGATCCCCCCAAAACGATCCGGCGCAGTTCCCGCCCACGCACGGAGCTGCCGTGCAGGCGGCGGCCAAGGAGCCCGGACTCGTCTCGATTGTCGACGTGGAAACGCTGGCGAACTCGGCATCCATCCACCCTCTCACCACCTTTGCGAACCCGCTAGGGTGCAGCTTCCTCTCCTTTTCCCCTTCGTCGCTGGCCCTCTTCACCGCCAGCACCAAAGGCGACGTCCAGACTGTCTGGGATTTGCTTCGTGTTCAACACACGCACTCGTCGCCGCTCCAGACGACCTTGTCCCATAACGACTGCAGCGGACCTGTGGTTCGGCAGATTGCCCAATTCTCGCGTATGACGGTTGCACGCATTGTCGACGTGGCTTGGACGGAACCGCAGGGAGAGAGACTGGCCATGGTCACGGAGCGAGGGACGATCCATCTCCTGGAGATGCCCTTTAGCGCATTCATGTGGCCCCCTCCCCGGCGGCGCAAGATGGCCGCAAAAGGTGCGCCCGAGCCTTCGGACGCATCCAGCTCTGCCGTCTCAATAGCTTCGGGCGCCTTTGGTGCGGCGTATCAGGCCGCGATGCCTTTCGTGACTCGGTCTCGCCGAAGCAGCTCCAACGCTGCGGCGGCGGCAGCGGCGGCGGCCGCCGCCTCGGGGAACACCTTGAGGGACTCGGCAGCCCAGGGGGGCCGTGTCATTGCTGCAACCATTAGCAACTCGCTCGGAAAGACCGGGACTGCCATCAACCACCTGCGACACACAGGAGAGAACCGGGTCACGCTGCCGCCCAGCACCGTCTTGCCGTCGGCGGGATGCGTCTCATGGCTCAAGTGTCGAAAGTCCCAGGTCTTGGTGTCGGTCGGCGGAGGACTGGTTCGCATGTTCCCCTGCAAGACCCGCCGTCCGTCGTCTGCGGCGGCTGGGAAGCGGATCGCTCGTGCCCACAAGTACAACGACATCAAGGTTCCCCTGCTCCCCGACGATGTCGTTGCGCCGCTCGTGCGCCAGATCCTGGATTTGGGCGCGCCGGACGAGTACCTCGAGCTTTCCGATGCCGAGCTGGAGACGGGGAACACCCTGACGCTCAAAGCGCAGGTCCACCCCGCCCCTCCGATCCACGGCATGGATGCGACGATCCCGCAGGCAGAGATAGAATCGAGCGCGCCTTACCAGCCATTCCATACGGATCGCCGCGTGGTCTTTTGCGGGTACGGCCGTGGCGGGACGGCCGCTCAATTTGAGTCGGCGTCTGCTCTCTTTTCCAATGCCAGCTTAGAGGAGCAGGCGTCTTCCAAAAAAAAGAAGAGGCGACCGCAGATGGCTGGCAGTCCGGAGCCCGGCGATACAGCAACTTCCTCCCTCTGGGCATTCGGACAGGACATCCCGGCTGTGAGCCTAAGCATGGGACTGCCCTCAAGCCCCGATGACGACGAGGCCGGCCCCGACGACCATCTTGCTCTACCCCAGTCGGCGATGGAGCGGGTGATGCAATATGCCGACGAGGAGCAAATCGTGGTTACGACTAGGCGACGACGCGGAGCGCGCCCCGGGGACACGGACGAGGATGGGTTTTTCGAGGACGACTGCGAGGTCCTCGACTTCGCCGACCAGAGAGTCTGAGTTCTGGATGCTCAGTCCCTAGGAGCGCTGTGAGCACGAGCTTCTTGGGGAGCTTTGCTGGTGGTTTCACAGGTATAGATCAGCAGTGAAACATGTGCTTGGATCCCCGTTCAGACGGGCAAGGAAAGTCAAGTGACTCGCGTGGTGGATTGCCTGGGTAATTGGGTGATGGCCCATTGAGTTCTGCATTCCCAGCATGCAGCATGCATCATTGATTGATTTTGCTCTGTTGGATGCGTCGGCCTCGTTGGTAACACTCACTTTGCCTGGACATGATTGGTTCTGAAGCAGCACTTGGCAGTGCCACATATTAAATAGAATAAAAAAAGATACCCGACCCAACAGGGGTGAAGCCTCATGATCGTAACTCATTGAATTTCTACGGACCAAGTTGGCCCTTGGTTCTCGCTGGCAGAGAGAACGGGGCCATGCCGGAATAAACGATGCGATGACAAGACGCCCCGAATTGGTATTACTGCACATGAGACTTGCCAAACAGGACACATGGCTGGCTTCACGCCTTCTTCTTTGCCGCAGCCTTGGCTTTGGCGGCCTTCTTGCGGTTGCTTCGAATCATGACCATGCTCAAGAAGGAGCCGACGACGGCGGAGCCCAGGAGAACAAGGATGACGGGGATGCGGATGGCCCAGACGCGGGGGAGGAAGAAGTTTTGGAGAGGGTGGTCGTCGTCGACAAAGGGCTGTGATGGAGGATGAGCATGACGACATGGCACTGGGGGAATCAGGATAGCGGACCATAAGAAGCGTCCAGACGGTATAGTAGAGGAAGACGACCGAGGCGGCCACGAGCATGGCGAGGCCAACGAGCTTGTCAAGCTGCGGAATCACGTCAGCGGCGGCTCGAGTGCCAGAGGGAAGGGACCAGGGATGCTTGCCATTGTAGAGACGCAGAAGGAGTGTAGTCAAGAAGACTTCTGAGTAGAGTGCTTGGAGGAAAAGGAGAGTCCCCTCGGAGGCGTCGAAGTCGTCTGAGGCGCGGGGATTAGGCCCGTCTGATAGCAGCAGCAACGCGGCCGAAAATTGAGACGCGGGTTGCAGGAGAGATGAATTGAGCTGTCCTCGCGTGCGTGGCGGTGCGACCGAGGCGGGGCGGCGCGTTCTCTCGGCCATGTGGCGCAGCGACGCAGCCTTGCTGGTCCGTGCACCTGATTTTCTCCTCTACAGAAACGAGCTCCAAAGCCAGCCTGAACAAGTTCGCGCAGCCTTTTTGCCTTGTTGGCAACCTGCCCCTTCCACCAACGACGACGACGACGACGAAGACGACGAAGACATTATCCGCAGGCACAGCACGGAGGACGATGGCATCGGCACAGGTGGAAATGCCGCGCCGCGACCGCGACCGCGGGCGTCCTCGCGATGGCGACTCGTACCGTCCTGCGCGGCCTGAACGATCTCCGCCACCCGTGCGCACCGAGGAGGAGAAGCAGGCGGCGGCCAAGGCAGAGTACGAGAAGCTGCTCACCATGCGATCGGGCGGCACGTACATTCCGCCGGCCAGGCTGCGGGCGCTGCAGGCGCAGATCACGGACAAGACGAGCAAAGAGTACCAGCGCATGGCGTGGGAGGCGCTCAAGAAGAGTATCAACGGCCTCATCAACAAGGTTAACACGGCAAACATCAAGCACATTGTCCCCGAGCTCTTTGGTGAGAACCTCATCCGGGGCAGGGGGCTCTTTTGTCGGTCCATCATGAAGGCCCAAGCGGCCAGCTTGCCCTTCACCCCCATCTACGCGGCCATGGTGGCCATTGTCAACACCAAACTGCCGCAGGTGGGCGAGCTTCTGGTCAAGCGCCTCATCATGCAGTTTCGAAAGGGCTTCAAGCGAAATGACAAGGCCGTCTGCCTGTCGTCGACGACCTTTCTCGCGCACCTCATCAACCAGCAGGTTCAACACGAGATGCTGGCGGGCCAGATCCTCCTCTTGCTGCTGCATAAGCCAACAGACGACGGCGTCGAGATCGCCGTCGGGTTTTGCCGCGAGGTCGGCCAGTACGTCGAGGAGATGCAGCCCACGATTGCCATGGCAGTCTTCGACCAGTTCAGAGGCATCTTGCACGAAGGTGGCCTCGATAAGCGAACGCAGTACATGATCGAGGTACTGTTCCAAGCGCGCAAGGACAGGTTCAAGGACCATCCGGCCGTCAGGGAGGAGCTCGACTTGGTCGAGGAGGAGGACCAGATCACGCACCAAGTCAACCTGGAGGGAGACATGGATGTGCAGGACGGCCTCAATATTTTCAAGTTCGACTCCAACTGGGAAGACAACGAGGAGGCATACAAGAAGCTCAGGGCCGAAATCCTTGGCGAGGCTAGCGACGACGACGACGATGACGACGACGCCGAGGATGAAAGCTCCGAGGAAGAGGACGAAGAGACAAAGGCCATGGAAATCAAAGACCTGTCTAACGCAGACCTAGTCAACCTGAGGAGGACCATTTACCTGACCATCATGTCAAGTGCTGACCCCGAGGAAGCCGTGCACAAGCTCATGAAGATCAACCTGCCTGCTGGCCAGGAGCCCGAACTGCCATCCATGATTGTCGAGTGTTGCTCGCAGGAAAAGACGTACACCAAGTTCTTTGGCTTGATCGGTGAGCGATTTGCCAAGATCAACCGTCTGTGGTGCGACCTCTTTGAGCAGGCATTCGCCAAGTACTACGAGACGATCCATCGCTACGAAAACAACAAGCTGCGAAATATTGCCATGCTCTTTGGACACATGTTGGCCGAAAACGCAATCGGCTGGCACTGCCTGTCGGTCATCCACTTAAACGAAGACGAAACGACGTCGAGCAGCCGCATCTTTATCAAGATTCTATTCCAGGCCATTGCCGAGGAGATGGGTATGTCGAAGCTACGGGCCAAGATGGACGACGAGATTCTGCGACCCAACTTTGAGGGCATCTTCCCCAAGGATAATGCCCGCAACATCAGGTTCTCCATCAACTACTTCACCAGCATTGGCATGGGTGCCCTCACTGAGGGGATGCGAGAGCACCTGCAGAACATGCCGAAGCCGGCGCTTCCCGCCCCCGCAGCCCGCGACTCGGACTCGGATTCGGTGTCGAGTTACTCGTCCTACACAGGGTCGTCGTATTCATCTCGGTCGCGGTCCAGGACCCCGCGGAGGGAAATCAATCGTGGACGCTCGCCATCGCGGACGCCTCCACGGCGGCGGGGACGGCCCTCATACTCCGAGAGCCGCTCCCGCTCGCGGTCTGCGAGCTCTTTCTCGCGCTCTCGCTCTCGCTCCTTGAACCCTGCCGGGCGGGGACGGAATCCGCGTTCCTACTCTGCCTCGCCGGCTCGTCGAGCATCCCGGGACGACAGCAGGAGCTTGTCGCGCTCGCCTGCTCCGGTGAGACGGCGCGGCAGGGCAAGGAGCGAGTCGTTTAGCTCGTACAGCCGCTCGCCGTCACCGCCTCCCCAGCGGCGAGTTGCTCGGCGATCACCGAGCCCTGCCCCGCGTGGGCGGGCGCAGGGGAGCGTGAGGGGTGTGTATCGGAGGAATAGCTCGTCCGTGGACGAGGCTCCGCGACGGAATGTCAAGCCCGGCCGTCGATCTCCCTCGTACGACTCGCAATCTCCGCCACGCCGTCGCGGCAGGAGCGACAGCTTCTCGCCCCCGCCTCCCCGCGATGCCGGGCGTAGATTGACGTCTCGCAGCCCGTCCCGGAGCCCGCCGCCGCGACGGACGCAGCGCGGCAGGTCGAGCTCGCCGGGCGGGCGGAGGTCGGTGTCCCCCGTGCCGGCCAAGAGGAGACGACGGCCCAGCGAGACCTTGTCGAGGTCGCCGCCGCCGGTGAAGCGGGGGAGGCGAGGGAGTTGAGTGAATGGGGGTGATGCTACGCAGAACAGTGGGCAGGGTGAGAGGCGAGGGGGGGAGGCGGTGAGGGCGGGCACTGGTGGTTACGGCGTTCACGTATGAGCGTTGGTTGTAGTAATTCAAAGATTGTCATGTCGCTATTCGGCGTGGGCTGCTGTTGACGAAGTCTTGTCTGAGCCTGATGGGTGTTGTTGGCGTTGGCGTTGGCGGCTGTGATTACACCCCTGACTCCCCGTTTGGAGGTTTGCAGGCTCGCCAAATTCACTTCTGTGTGTCTCGAGGACGATTATTCCGAGCATAAAACTCGGTTTGCCATAGTCGAGCTTACTTTTCTCTCTTTCTCTTCCTCGTACTTGGGACTCACAACCACCACCGTCATCACTCGCGCTTTACCCAGCAAGCACATGGTTATATTCAACAACAGCCACCCAGTCAAGACAACGCAGCTCTAGCGACCCACGAGAAACCCCGAAGAAGAGCAGAACTCACCATGTCTTTCCCCGGCGTCATCGCCGCTGCCGCCTTGATGGTCGCGGCGCCGGCCCTCGTCGCGACACCGCTGCTCGGCGCGGCGGGCTTCGGTGCGGCCGGGGTGACGGCGGGCTCGGCGGCGGCGGCGGTGCAGAGCGTCATGGGCAGCGTTGTGGCGCCTAGCCTATTCTCTACGCTGCAGAGCGCGGCCATGGGCGGATACGGCGTGGTCGTTGTGCATGGGGCTGTGCAGGGGCTTGGTGCGCTGGCAGCCATTATTGCGGGATATATGGCTGGGAGAAAGGGTGACGATGGCAAGGATGGGGAAGGCGATGAAAGTGCCGAGGGTGACAAGGATGAGGGTGGCGAGGATGGCATGGATGGCGAGGAGAGCAAGTAAAGGATAGACAGGACTGAGAGGAAAAGGATGATATAAGGCAAAAAAAAGCCCGATAGCTATTATACCGTCGCTGGTGTCAGACGACTCTGAAGGGTGCAAGTCGCAGCAATAATAGGCCAGTCGCCCGGATCCGCCAGTAACGGCACTTCATCCCTCACAGCTGCTTATAAGGGTCCACACGCCCAGGGACCAGCTTTTACATTCGTATGGTCCTCTAAAGACTGTCTTGAAATATCCTCGAGGCGTAATTGGGGGTGCTGTACGAAGTATATAGTTCGCCCTGGCAAGTCGTACAATACAGCGCTGTTACGTATCAGAACGAGAAATATAAATAGATGTACAGTAGATGAAGGTGTAACTGATCAGCCGTAATGGGAGCCTCCTTCCGCCGTGTACTCACGTCGACCATTCTCTGTTAATTTGCCTCGTTAGTCGGCTTACACTTTCGACAATCTGTCAACATTAACCAACCCCAGTAGAGAGCTTAAGGAGCATTTTTTATTTCCCCTTTGTCCTCGCCTTAGGGAGATTTTGAACGAGTGGAACGAGGTCAATGGGACTTCGACTGGAGGAGAACACGGTGGAGGGACGGAGTCCCTTCTACCCCATGGCCCCCTATCACTTATGTTTGGTATATAGGGGGCCCATGGCCAACGGCCCAAGCACCTACTCTAGTCACCTTCCACGCAAGTGGTTGAGTGAGGTACTTACAGTATTGCATGGGACGGGAAATACTGAGTTAACGTACCCCACTGCGTCATGCAACGCACTAGGTCATGCAACAATTTTCAACACCTGACGCGTCTTCTTCAAATTGACGCGATATGGATCACAACCCTCGTATTGCAGAGGCAATTATAGAACTGCAATCCCAAGATCGCCCTAAATATGCAGAGACCGCGAGGAGATACAATATCGACAAATCCACGCTGTGGCGCCGCTTCAAAGGCAAAACAGCCTCAAATCACGACGCGAACTCTTACTCGCGACAGAAACTCACCAGCGCGCAGGAGGAGATTCTTATTGGGCACGTCAATAAGCTGACCGACCGTGGTATCCCGCCTACCCTCAGATGTTGAAGAATATCGCCGAGGAAATCGCAGGGACAGAGCTTGGTGTCAACTGGGTGAGCCGCTTCCGCAAGCGACACCATGACCGTCTTTCGAGCTTGTATTTGCGCACCATAGATCATCAGCGGAAGGCTGCTGATAATTCCAGGCATTTCCAAAACTTCTTCAATCTAGTAAGACTGCTTTTATCGTCATTTCAAGGGTATACTGCCGACAATACTCGGTCAAATGCCGTAAAGTCGCCATTTCTGACCGAATCCAACTAGCTCCGCGAAAAGATCGAAAAGTACAACATCAGTCCTCAAATGTTTATAATTTTGACGAGAAGGATTCCAAATTGGTCTCTCTCGCTCCACCAAGCGAGTTGTCCCCCGAGAAGCCCTCAGGCGCGGAAAACTGGTCGGGGCAAGCCAAGACGGGAACCGGGAGTTCATCACGCTGATCGCTGCCATATGTGCAGATTATTCGTACCGCCACCGGCCCTCATTTACAAAGGGGAGTCAAAAGACTTTCAAGATACTTGGCTTGAGGATTTTGACCATTCCAGCGAAGTAGCCTTCTTCGCCAGTACGGAAAACGGCTGGAGCTGTGATGCACTGGGTTTACACTGGCTTCAGCGCATATTTGACTGCCATACGAAGCAAAAGGCTGGTCGTGCCTACCGTCTCTTAATTTTAGACGGTCACAATAGTCACATTAACCTGAAATTCATTGACTATGCCGATCGGAATCGAATTCTCATTGCTGTGTTGCCATCGCACTCAACTCATCGGCTTCAACCACTCGATGTTGGCCTGTTTTCCGCACTCTCCACCTATTATGCTCAAGGTTCCGACCAGCTGATGTCCATTGGATGGGGGTTAATTCGCCTTACCAAACGGAATTTTTGGCCACTCTTTCGTGATGCGTGGAACCAGGCATTTACGGCCAAAAATATCGAGGCTGGTTGGCGGGCCACAGGAATCCATCCACTCGACCCCGGCAAAGTATTGTCCAAGATTAGCCACAGCAGTGATGTGACACCCCCACAAACTGCATCTGAGGAAAGGGCGATGAAGACTCCAGGCTCTCTTCGGGCTATTCGGCGCATTACCCGCCGTCTCCGCAAGGAAGGGCTGATGGACTCCCGAGTCACAGCGCTCTCCCGAGCATCAGAGAAACTGGCGACACAATATGAGCTCGTACAACACGAAAATCGAGATCTACAGGAAGCGCTCAAACTTGCACATAAAAAAGGGAAACGCAGAAAGGCCTTGGGCCTTTTCAATCCGGAAGAAAGTGGTGGCCAGCCGGTCTTTTTCAGTCCAGCCAAGGTGGAACTGGCGCGGCGACGTCAGACGGACAAGGCACAGGCCGACGAGCAGCGCAAGCAAGCCATTGAAGATCGTCGACTCCAGGTAGCCATATCACGTGAAGAAAAGGCTCGAGAATCTGCCGAGAAGAAAACAGCGGGCTGCAATGCGTCAGGCCTTGCGAGAGCAGCGTTCTCGAGAGAAGACAGAGCGTGCTGCGGAGCGCGAGGCAAAGCGAGCTGAGAAACGGGAGGCCGCAGCAAAATTAAAAGCAGAGGTCTGCACGCGAGGCTGAACGCCAGGCTATTCGGGAAGTCAAGTTTGAGGTAGCTGCTACGTCAAAGCCTGGTGTAAGAGGGCACAAAAGACATGGTAGCGGTGAGAAAACGAGGGCGTTGGAAGCGGGTTTGCGCGACGGGGATTCAACCACGCAACAACTCGGAGGAAGAAAGGGTAAAGATTGGTTCTGAAGCTTCAGTGGCTCGGGACCACAGTCCCGGAGCTTTAGGGGTAAAGACATACCTCCCGTTCGACGGAAGCGCAGGGAAGTATGGAGGCCGGTTTCTCAGTCTCTCAGGTCTGGGCGGACCACAAGACCGCCTGCTCATATTTCCTAAGAAAACCATCATATAGATAGACTCTGTATGAAGTGTTTCACATATTGTAATGTTTAATAGTATTTTAAATGGTTTGTGTCGGTTGCAGGATTAATTTTCGCTCTGGCTTGCCGGTCGGGCAATTTGTTGCATGACGTGGTGCGTTGCATGACTCAGTGAGGTACGTTACTAAGGCTGCATGAGACGGGAAGGATCACAGCCAATAGGAGTCAGGCTACGATCAGTTTTCCATGACTCCGCCTTTGAATGAATTGTTCAAGCAGAACAGGACCGGAGGATAAGAAGGGGTTGCCCCCCTCGACCATGACCTGGGAAGGTCTTCCATTTTTCCTTCACTATTCACGCACGGGGTGCATGTGCTGAGCTTGGGCGAAAACCTACGTCTTCTTACAGGTAAATCATCTCCTTTTCTGTGTAGGAAAAGCCAGTGATCGGAATGGTCCGGTATGAGTTGGTATTGGTATGGTAAATACCGCCAAGACCTGGTATGGTTTGACAAAAACTTGATACCATGGTATTACCGGTATACCGGATCAATACCAGTAACGCTAAAAATAAGCTCAGGTGAGAGGCTCACTGCGGAGAATGACCAGGCAGAATCCGAGCGGCGATGATTCCAGTGTCATCTGTAGGGCTTATTGACCAGTTTTCTGCCAGTTTATCTACTCCATTCAATCATGAATACCATCATCCTCACAATATCGACCTGGCTACCTTGGTCAGGTCGATCCGGCACCGAACGGATGCTTTTCGTCTTTGCTGCCGGGTAGCTATCCCAGGAAGGCACGAAGGTAAGGCTAGTGTTAGTGCGTATTAGAAAGTACTTCTCATTGCACCCAGTTTTATGAGTTCTTCCATGTAGGACGGAGCATGACCTAACGTATCACTGGCCAGACTTGTCAATCGCGTCGTCGGAGGGACAGGAAAAGCTTAAATGATCCTTTCAGGGACAGGAAAGCTTAAATGATCCTTTCAATCGAATTACTTCCGTGATGTTGGAGCCCGAAAATTTTTACGTTAGGCTAGTTGGACGATGGACCAAGATCGAATGATCGAAAGCCACCATAGTGACCATACCTTAACTGGTGTATGTCATGATCATGGAATCTCCAGCGCCAACCTCGCCATCTTCGTTTACGACAAGTTCAGCATCAATCCGCTCCAGATCTCCTGCATCGTGTCCCGCGCCACACTTTTCCGCTACGACGCCATCGTCTAATTCTGTCCGTTATCCTGAGCCTCCGGACGAATTCGTACAAGACCATGTCACGTACCTGCGTCGCGCGACGACGACGAAGAAGGCAGCTCGTCTCGGCTCGTCGCATGTGTGGAAGTACGGTCTTCATTACATCCGAGACAGTGACAAGAAAGAGGTATACTACTGTCACGAATGTGCGATCGGAAAGTATAAGCAAGAGTTATTTGTGATCAATGGCACGTCGGGAGAAATCATCTCGAACAGAGGCACCAGATTGATCCACAAAGCGGCCTGAGGAAACGCGGTGCGACACGGGCGTCTGTATTGGAGCAACAGAAAAGCGCAGCTGCTAGTAGCAATTTTTTCTGGAAAGATACCGTTGAGAGGTTCAAAGAGCTTTTGATTCGTTGGGTTGTGTACTGCCATATTGCTTTCTTCCAGTTGGAGAACCAGTACTTCCGAGAGCTACTCTTCTTTCTGAACCCTGCTCTACTTAATCACCTCCCAAAGGCTGCGAAAACAATTCGAGGTTGGGTTATGGATGCCTTCCTGTCGAAGAAGCAACAGCTGAAAGAGGACCTCCAGCGGTCGCGAGTAGAATCTCCATCTCCTTCGACCTCTGGACCTCGCCAAACCCGTACGCAATCCTGGGTGTCGTCGCCATGTGGATTGACGCCACCGGCAAGCGACGAAGTACCGTCCTGGGCATGCGACGCGTTCATGGCGAGCACAGTGGCGAGAATCTTGGGTCGACCGTTCTCGAATTATTGACGGAATATGACATTGGCGGAGATCAGATTGGATACTTCATGCTGGACAATGC